GGTTGGGGTTGCAGGCCACCAGGCCAGCAAGGGCATCATCAGCACAGCCTGTCACCGAGTTCACCAGCTTTTTGGAGGTCTGCAGGGGAGGGGTGAGAAGGAGATCAGAGTGTGGTCAGCACAGACGCCCCCATCCTGCCCAGCCACTCTGCTGTGGTGCAGGCCCCCATCCACCTAAGAACTCCAGGAGCACAGCACTTCCTTGAGTTGGGCAACATCTTATCAGGTGGGTATTTCTGTAAGTTTTCAATAACTTGTGACTTTCTATTCAGCATCTAATTTATGAAGTATCTTGTACCATACTTTCAATTTATCCTGAAAAATGGCTTCAATACAAAGAAAATGGGGGAGGTATTGTCCTCAGCATAAAATATTTTAATAAAGTTGGGGCCCAACACCTTCTTCTTTCAAAGGAAGAAAAGCCCCAGGCTGAGGCTCCTATGCCAGGGGAAGGAGCTGAGCAGGTTCCAGTCACTGCTGCTCCCCTGCTGCTCCAATGCAGGGCAAACATTTCCCCAGCCTCCTGGTGTGCCAGGCCCAGCACTAGGCACTGTGTGTAAAGATAATGGCCCAAGAGCAGTGGCTCATGACTGTAATCCCAGCACTTTGGGAGGCTGAGGCAGGCAGATCACTTGAGCCCAAGACTTTGAGACTGGCCTGGGCAATATGATGAAACTCCATCTCTACAAAAAATATGAAAAATGAGATAGGCATGGTGGTGTATGCCTATAATCCCACTACTCAGAAAGCTGAGGTGGGAGGATTGCTTGAACCTGGGAGGTGATGGCTGCAGTGGGCTGTCATGGTGCCACTGGACTCCAGCCTGGGTGACAGAGTGAGACTCCATCTCAGAAATTAAAAAAGAGATAACAATACTGTTCCTGCTCTCAGTGAAACACAGCAGAGGTCAGCCATGTGCAGGTACTGCTATGTGAGGACCGCACGTGCACCACAGCACAGAGGAGGGGCTGCAGCCTCCTGAGGGGCCTGGAGGTCTCTGTGAAGGAAAAGCTGGTCCTGGATAGGTAAAAGGGAGCAGGCATGGTAGGGAGGGAAAAGGGAGGCTCTTCCAGCCAGAGGGGGAGCATAAGCCAAGTCCTGGAGTGAATAGTTTGGTGGTGCCAGGAAGCATGGGTGACCAGCAGGAAGGGGTGGGAAGAAGGCTGGCCACGGGCAGCCTCAGGAGGGGCTGTGGGCAGGTTGGAGGAGGGCTGCTGAGTAGCACTGCCAGGCTTGGCTGAGTGGATACAGGGTGCAGACAGAAGTGAGCAGTGTGGGGGCTAGAATAAAGCACAGCTTGAGCTCTGCTGTCATGGGGACTTAGGTTCATATCCCACTTCTTCTTTTTTTTTTTTTTTTTTCTTTTTTTTTTTTTAGAAGGACTTTCGCTCTTGTTACCCAGGCTGGAGTGCAATGGCACAATCTCGGCTCATCGAAACCTCTGCCTCCTGGGTTCAGGCAATTCTTCTGCCTCAGCCTCCTGAGTAGCTGGGATTACAGGCACGTGCCACCATGCCCAGCTAATTTTTTGTATTTTTAGTAGAGACAGGGTTTCACCATGTTGACCAGGATGGTCTCAATCTCTTGACCTCATGATCCACCTGCCTCGGCCTCCCAAAGTGCTGGGATTACAGGCGTGAGCCACCGTGCCCGGCCCAGATCCCACATCTGTCTCTCATTAGCTGCAGGAACTCAGGAAAGATACATCACTGTTGTGAGCTGTAACTCTTCCTCTGTAAAACATGGATTTAGTAGAACAGAGGCTATGCCTGCAATATAGTGGAAACTCAATCAAAGGGAGCTAATGTGTTTTTTAAATAGGCTGTGAAAAGCTGGAGCCTGCTGAACAAGGGCTGCAGACCCTGCCTTTGTCCTGAAGGCGGAGTGAGGCTCGGGGCCAACGTGGACCTAGAGGGCTGGGCTCCCACCGCCACCTGGTGGCCTGGCAGGAGCCTGCAGCTGAGCCAGGTCCTGGCAAGGTGAACTTCCGGCTGTAGCTTCTTCCTGAGCCCACTAGCACCAGCTCCTTTGTACAAAATTTGGCTCTGATGCCTCCCTGCCAACCTGCCCTGCGATTGGCCAGGGCCAGGGCTAAGCCACCTGCTTCGGAGTAGCCTAGGTCTACAGGGAGCAAGAAGAAGAATAAGATTGCTTCCATTTGCTGAGCAGTGACTACAGCCAGGCCCAGTTCTAAGAGTTTTTGAGCATATTTTCCCAACAACCCGATGGAGGAAAGATGAGCCCAGTGAGAAAACTGAGGCACAGTTAAACGATTTTGCCCAAGGTCACACAGCCAGCAGGTATCCAGGTCTGCCTGGCTCCAAAACTGGTTCCCTTTTGGCCATATCATGCCGCCTTCTTGAGGGGCTGAAGGGAGGTGGAGGGTGACAGAGGTTGCCCTAGAAAGGGCATGGGCTAGTGGCCCTCAGAGCCTACCAGGGACTGGAACATACAATGAAGTTGTGAGTAGGCCTCACTCCAAGCCCAGCCTCCAGTACCACCAGCCTCCAAGAAAGTGGCCTGCTCCCCATTTTGATAATGTCTTGCCTGGGATTTTCAATAATCCCTGCACCAGAGCCAGGAGAGGGTTTGGGGACCAGTGCCATCCTTGGTTTCAGTGGCCTGAGAGGATGGAAAAGGAAAGAATATCACGTGAGGCCTCCAGGACTCTGCTTGACCAACACCTCACAACCACTAGAGATAATCTGCTTTATAATGCAGATAGAGAAAACAGGCTCAAGAGGGTCAATCTTCTGTAAAAGGTCATGCAGCTGGTCAGTGGCAGGCTGAAATTTGAATCCAGATATGTTCAAGGCTTGTTTTGGTCCAAATCAGTGGGCCTGGAGCAAAGCCCAGGGACATGGCCAGGCTCCCACACTGTAGATCCCAGTTCCAAACCTGCCGACATAAGCCCCAGGGTTAGGAACAGTCACGTGGTCATTCTTCACGGTTCCTTCTGTGACTGGTACAGTGAATATTACAGAGCAGGTAACTGTTCTTGTTCTACTCTGAACGCAAGACCCAGATAGGGGGCAGAACAGCTCTAAAGGGACTCAGAGGCTGCAGCCCCAGGCCTGGCTGGGACTAGTGGCCTCTGGGAATGAAGAAAAGCAGGAATCAGGCCCTGGGAGAGAGGATGACCCTCTCTCTTAACCCCTGAGCCTCAGGAGGCAGTAGCATCTCTCGGTCAGGGTGTAAGGAGCTCTAGCACGCCCAAGTGCCCAGGGCTGGGATCCCGCTTTGAGATCATGCTGTCCTTCCCCTGCCCCAGCCCTGTATGACTCACCATGGTGGGGAGCCTCTGAAACAAGCCGAGTTCACACCTTTGCACCAAGTTGCCGGATGGACAATCCTGTGTTACCCGTCTCTGAGCACAGCGGAGGCAGCAGCAGCACCTGCAGGAGCGGGTAATGTACAAGCTGCTGAAGGCACTTGCAGCCGACTGGCACAATCACACTTCAGCGCTCTAGTAATTAGGGAGCTGCCCCAGACTTCGGTCCAAGTCCAAACTCTAGTACGTGGGCTATGGATGGAGAAGAGTGTGGGACCGACCAAGGTTCACGCCTGCACTTGGCTGCCAGAAGACAGAGCAATCCATGTCAGGCACAGGGCTGCCTTTATGCCCAGGAACAGCAGCTCAACCCACTTCATCACCAAAGAACAGTGACCCTCAGAATAACTTTATCTTTTACATGGGCATCACATGCAGTGAGAAAGTTAACAAAGCTCTTCAAACGCTTGTTCTCATTGGGCTTGGCACCAAAAGGGCGGGGGATGGGGGAAGCTGGCCAGTTTGTGATCCCATTTTACTTCAGGGAGACACACTAGGAGAGCTCTAGGGACATATCCAAGGTCATACAGCTAAGAGCCAGGATCTAAACCTGTTTTCGTTTTTCTACAAAGAGCTTGTGTTCACTACTGCCTCCAAAGTCAGGCACAGCCTCTGCTGTGGGAAATGCAAGCTGTAAACCACAATGACATTCTGGCTTTCCTCAGTTCAGCCCGGTTCAGTGGCGTGTTGGCCTCTGTGCCTACGTGTGGGTGCACAGTAGGAAGATCAACATAGCTCTGCACCTAGCTCTTCCTCAGCCTACTTGGGATTGGGGGGGTGGGTCTTAGGTAAACCAATTCCTACTTAAGTCTCAGCTTCCTCATCTGTAAAATGGGGGTTGGCTCCTCTCTGGTATTCTGCGAGTATGCTAAGCCACGTGGTTCTCCTCTAGTTCCCGGGGAGCCTGTTTGGTGCTACCCTGGAGGCTGCAGGGCTGACTGCCCTCCTGGCTCCTTAGATTTCCCTACGGAGATGCTGGTTTTGTGTTTGAGGTTCGAATTTGTAGAGCAATAGGGGCACCAATAACATTGGGCGAGCGGACCGGTGAGCCCTTCGAAGTCTTAAGAATCAACGTGCAAAAGGGAGGAGGTGAGCGTCCTGGGGCCCCACGCCGAGTGGTCGTTTTAACGTCAGGAGAGAGCACTGGCTGGATCTGGAGGAACTGAGAGTGAAGGGGGAGGTAGGCAAGGTTCTAGTCTGGGATGTGCACAAATCGCGGTCATTTCCCTTCCCTCTCTAGGCCTCCCCAGTCCTTCCCTTTCCAAAAGGAGGAACAGCCCCGAGGGCTCCTGGAGCAACGGAAGGACAGGATGCGCGGAAGGGCGAAGGGCGCGGAACGGGGAAGGGAATCCGCGGGCGAGCTCCGAGGACACTGGCGCACTTCCCCCGCCGGCTCACGCCCGCATCCACCACCTCCGAAGGCACCACGATTTCCCGGGAACTCCCGTCAGCGCTCTCTCATCCGGGTCCCGCGGGCGCTGGCGGAAAGAGGCGAGGCGGCGCCTCCGGGGGCGGGGCCTCCTTTGGTTGGCGGCCTCGGGCTTCGGGAGTCCTCCAAGGAGCCAGGTGAAGCCGTCCCGTGATGCCCCTCGCCCCGGCCGCTCTGGCCTGCAACGTGTATCTGGGGCGGAGGCAGCGGCGGTGGAGTTCGCTGCGCGCTGGTGGGGGCTGCAAGTCTCTTCGTTTGTGTCCCTCTCTCTAGTGTCACGCTTGAGTCCCGACGGGCCGCCGCAAGCCTCGACATGTCTTACAACTACGTGGTAACCGCCCAGAAGCCCACCGCCGTGAACGGCTGCGTGACCGGTGAGGCTGCCGGAGCCGGAGACCCCGGCGAGGGAGGGAGCTGAGGGGAGCCGCGGCCTAGGGAGGCCCGAGGCCCCGGGGCGGCCGGGCAGGAGGAGGCCCGGCGAATGGGAGGCGCTGGCGGCCGAGGAACCTCCCCCACCCCGCTATCTCGAAGTAGTCGTCTCAATACGCGCTTTTGCGGGGTTCGAATCCTCTCTCGAAGTCCTCTTTCGTCCTGGGGAGGTCACTCGGCCTCGAGGACAGGGCGGGCCCAGTGAGACAGAGAGAGGAGTGTGAGTTGATTATACGGTGTTGTTTGGACCCGGAAACTGGCCTCATGTGGCTGGGAAAGGGAAAGGTGGTAATGATGACTTTGGGGTCAGGATTTCCCTGTGGAGAAGTCTGGGGTCCCAGGAGGTGGAGGGAGGTGAAGAATGCCCGCATTCTCCCACAGAGGGAGAGGAGCTCTTTCCGGGCTAACCCCTTTGCCTGGGGCGGTTGTTTACATGAGGGCCCTGCTGGAGGAGGGTTTACTTTTTGACGATGTGCTTTTAATAAAGACACCAATGTCCGGAACCCGGGAAGAATCATCTGGAACCCACATTCTCAGCTGAATATGCAGACCCCAAGCTTGCATGTTTATGTACACCCTAATCATGATTCCAAAACAAAACACTATTGTTCAGAGATGGAGGTAGCTGAGTGTGGATGGGGGTGTTGGTAGACTGCCAAGAGGGCAGGGGATGTGGACAAAACAATGTTTTCATATAAAACTCTGGGGCTTTTCTCATTTGGTCTGTCTGAAAAAAGTTTCTGAGACATTATATGAAGACTGGAAGCATTCTCAGTTGGAGCCTGCTACTGTAACTGTAATAGGAAAAGCAAAATTCGAGGGACAAGAGCCATGAGAAGAGATTACTCAGTCATTGTCAGTTGGAGGACACACGCTCTTAGAGCCAGTCCAGTTTTCTTAGTCTGATTAGGGAAGCAGCTTTGTTAAATGCATGAAATGAGACTCTCTGAGGTGCTGGATTTGGCAAGAAGGGGAATAGCAGGAGAGAGTTGGAGAAGTATGTGAAGTAAATGAGAATTCTGGAGGTATTTAGACATAAATGATTTGGAAGGGATGGGAGTCCCTTTCCCTGGTTTCAAAAGTTAGAGGATCTCTTCTTTCAGGACACTTTACTTCAGCTGAAGACTTAAACCTGTTGATTGCCAAAAACACGAGATTAGAGATTTATGTGGTCACCGCGGAGGGGCTTCGGCCCGTCAAAGAGGTGGGCATGTACGGGAAGATTGCGGTCATGGAGCTTTTCAGGCCCAAGGTAAGTGCTGAGTTGGGACAGACAGTGGAGGGAGAACTGTTGGTTGTAGATTATTTATGTTATTTTTGTTTGTTTATTTTCTTTGAGACTGGGGTCTTGCAGTGTTGAGGATGTCTTGAACTCCTGAGCTCAAGTAATCTCTCCGCTTCAGCCTACTGAGCAGAGTAGCTGGGAGATGGTAGGCATGTGCCACCATGCCTCGGCTATATTATGTTGTTTTGTGAATTCTTGGGATGGATGAAATACGCCTTAGGAGAGAAACGCTCTTCTCTCATTGGATGGCAAATTTCAATATGTATTCTTGACCAAGTTTCCTAGTAGTAGGAGAGATTCATTAGGGAAACATTTATAAAGTTGACTTCTTTAGGAGGAAGAAATTAAAGCAGTTTGATTCAGAGGATAGGCTACAGAGTGGGACAGTCCTGGCTTCATTCCTTGTTAATTCTGACTTTAGCTGTCACTGAAGGCACCTTTCAGATCCAGTCTCCTGGGTTATTGTGAAGATGATATGATTCAGTAACACAGGGCATACAGCAAGCATTTAATGTTACGTTAACAATTACCAGGCTTCACAGCTCCGTCTACTAAAAATACAAAAATTGGCTGGGTGTGGTGGCACATACCTGTAATCCCAGCTACTCGGGAGGCTGAGGTAGGAGAATCACTTGAACCTGGGAGGCAGAGGTTGCAGTGAGCCAAGATGGCGCCACTGCACCCAACCTGGGTGACAGAGTGAGACCCTGTCTCAAAAAAAAAAAAAAAAAAAAAAAAAAAATTGTCATCAGTATTTTTGTCATTTTTAGTGCAAATGTTTTCATCCAAATCACCATCACATTGCATCATCATGTCTTAACTCAATCTGGCAAGAAAGCAATGGGTTCAAAATTTTAATTATAACCCTTTGAACAAAACAGTAATTTTTTGGAGGTCTGTGTTAAATAAGTAAGACTCTGTAGATCCATTTTAGCTTCCATTGTTATTCCCACATTTCTTTTTGTCTTCAAACACTTGGAGAGGAATGGAGGAGGCATTACATTCATCTTTCAGAATTTGAATGCGATGATCGAGATTTGCTTGAGGTTGAAATAGATGAAGACTTTGTATATAGAACAGAGAGATGGAGAATCATGAAAGTGAGGACTAGATGTTTACCAGCTTCAGTTCTGGCTTTTTGTACATGCCCTTAGGGTATATGTGTACCTAGTGTGGGTTACAAGCTCACCATGTATTTTCTCTTTTGGGAGAGAAGAATTTGGAAAATTCTTAAACTATTTGGTTTGCTTAAAGACTGGACAGGTTGTTCCTGTTTTAAAAAGAACCTCTTTTGATAGCATAATATTGGTTTCCAGGGGGAGAGCAAGGACCTGCTGTTTATCTTGACAGCAAAGTACAATGCCTGCATCCTGGAGTATAAGCAGAGTGGCGAAAGCATTGACATCATTACGCGAGCCCATGGCAATGTTCAGGTGAGGTGGCTGCTTTAGGCTCATGAGAATTTTCCAAGTAGGACTGTCATAATTCATTTAAAAAAAGTCAAGTGCTGGGAACAGCCCTTTATTTGATTAGAAAAACAAGGGAAAGACACTATGGGTTTGAGGTTTTTGGAGAAAGGACTCCTGTAGTTCACTCAAGGCCCAAGGGACAGGGTAATAATTCATTGAGATTCAGTATTTCACAAAAAAGGTATGCACTGACATTTGGGCTCCAACTGTTTGGCCTATCAAATAGATTCATTAGTTTTACTACCTTTCCTAAAATTTTTCTGCGGAAGTGGTGCCCAGTGTGCTCTGTTGCTCTGTGGTTGTTGAGGTTCTTCCTTAATCCCTATTTTGTTTCTCAGGACCGCATTGGCCGCCCCTCAGAGACTGGCATTATTGGCATCATTGACCCTGAGTGCCGGATGATTGGCCTGCGTCTCTATGATGGCCTTTTCAAGGTTATTCCTCTAGATCGTGATAATAAAGAACTCAAGGCCTTCAACATTCGCCTGGAGGAGCTGCATGTCATTGATGTCAAGTTCCTGTATGGTTGCCAAGCACCTACTATTTGCTTTGTCTACCAGGTACTGGGTTGGGAGGAGAGGGGAAGAAGCTGTGAGGTTGCTGTGATAGGAGCTGTTTTTGCTCATTGGAATGTCTGGGTTTGGTAGTAGGGTAGAGAGAGGTGTTTAATGTGTTTGTCCTGAAATGTTTTGAACAACATAATTGATATGGGTCAGACTTTTGTTGCTTCTTCAGTATGCTTATTGTGGAGGCAGCAAGCTCCCTGGGGCTTGTAGCAGGTTTTAATCCTGAGATTACACTCTGGTTGTGGGCCTTGGAGATTTCATAGGATGACCCAGTTTGTACTTTGAGTCTCTTAATGGAGTGCTAGGGGATTATTAAAACTTAGCTGTAGAGAAATTATCTGGATCTTGCCTTTATATTGAGCAAAGAGAAATTGTCTTGGTGATGCCTGAAATTTGTTTTGTAAGAAGAGGTTTATGTTTTGTCCAGCAGTCACTTCCTGGTGACTTGCTGGCTCTTGACTTCTATTTTAGTCTGTGCCTAAAACTTTAGCAGAGCTGATCTGGGCAGCTGTTCTCTGGTCCAGATCTGTTAAGTGGGGGTGGGGTGGTAGAATACCAGACTAACATGCCAGTGTCTTGGTAAAATCTCAGCCCTTTAACAAAGCATGCAGCATGAGGTAATTTCATTTGCATGTGGCTGAATAAATGATGGAAGGATAATACATAGAGTGTATGGGCACATAAACAGTTTGATAGCATTGTTGTGTATTGGAAGTGCTGAAGTAATTTTGTATATTTCTTAGTGTTACTGTAGTTCTGAGGCTATTGGTTTAAGGCTCAATTGAATAAGGTTGAAACCCAGAGATTTTGTTTGATCTTTTTTCTAATAAAAACTTAGAATTTCTCTCTGTTCTTTAGTTTTGTAAATATTAGGCTATTAAAATTTTGATGTTGTTGATTATTCAAGGCTGATTGTTCTCAGCCTCAGGGCTGCCAGTCGTAATCAGATCTTCATTTCTGCATGTGTGTCTCAGAAGCCTAAATCCACACTTGAACTTTTTGTGAAATTGTGTCTTAACCCTACTCACTGGTGAGAAAATGTTTTCATCAGCTAGAAATTACTATCTCCTGTTTTATGCCAAAAATTCAGTGTGTGCTGTGTGAAAAGTATTCATGCTTCAGGAGCTGTAACAGTGACCAAGATGTGATCCCTTTACTGAAACACATTGCTGAATTCCTTCCATAACTTCTTTGTGGAAGCCATCTTCCACTGGCTGAGTGTAGCTTTCTCCCCATTCCTGCTCTTCAGCATTTTTTTTTTTTTTTTTGAGACAGAATCTTGCTCTGTTACCAGGCTAGAGTGCGGTGGTGTAATCTTGGCTCACTGCAATCTCCGCCTCCCGGGTTCAAGCGATTCTCTTGCCTCAGCCTCCCCAGTAGCTGGGATTACAAGTGCGTGCCACCACACCCGGCTAATTTTTGTATTTTTAGCAGAGATGGAGTTTCACCATGTTGGCCAGGATGGTATCAATCTCCTGACCTCGTGATCTGCCTGCCTCAGCCTCCCAAAGTGCTGGGGTAGGCGTGAGCTATCATGCCGGACCAAGCATCTTAAAGGTGATTTTGGCAGTCCCAGCACTGACATGAGTCATGATTCAGAAAAAGGTGGGGAAGATGCTGTTGACAATGGCAGGACTGAAAGTTCTGACAACTTTAGAGGAGTAATCAGTTATGTTCTCCCTACTGTTATTCCATCAGAATGCTTTTACGAATTGTATCAATTAAAAAAAACTCATAGGTGTAGCTTATCAATGCGTGTTTTCGTGTAGCTATTTTGTAAGTTTCTTGAGGCTAAGGAATGCACACAGGCACACGCACAGTATCTTTTTTTTTTTTTTTCCCCTGAGACGGAGTCTTGCTCTGTGGCTCAGGCTGGAGTGCAGTGGTGCCATCTGTGTTCACTGCAACCTCCGCCTCCTGAATTCAAGTGATTCTCCCACCTCAGCCTCTTGAGTAGCTGGACTATAGCCTTGCACCATCACGCCCAGCTAATTTTTGTATTTTTAGTAGAGATGCCATGTTGGCCAGGCTGGTCTTGAATTCCTCACCTCAGGTGATCCGCCCACCTCGGCCTCCCAAAGTGCTGGGATTATAGGCTTGAGCCACCATGCCCAGCACACAGTATCTCTTAGAGTGCTTAGTGCAGTGTGACAAGTTCATTTTTCTAATTGTTAAACCTTTGTTGGTTGGTTGAATTGTTAGGAGTGGTAGATCTCAGATGCCACAGTCTACCTAGGGATTAATCCCAGGCTCAGCTGGTGATTGTCAGTACACTGATGGATAAGGGTAGGAGAGCTGACATGACAGGACTGTCAGATGCTGGGTGGTAGTGGCTTGTTCCTTTCAGCACCTCACTTAGCCCAAGGCTCACTCTTCCTAAAGGCTAACCATTTCACCTTTCCCTGCTAGGACCCTCAGGGGCGGCATGTGAAAACCTATGAGGTGTCTCTCCGAGAAAAGGAGTTCAATAAGGGCCCTTGGAAACAGGAAAATGTAGAAGCTGAAGCTTCCATGGTGATCGCAGGTTGGTTGGGAGTTTTAGGAAATGTGCGTCCACCCAGGGCTAGGCTAGTTCCCTGTTCTTGTTCCCTCCCTTACCTTCTCTGCCCTTTAGTGTGGTGCTCAGTATTTTTGAAGGTGTGCAGTGTTTACCACTCCTTTATGTCTTCTTTCTCTAAAATCTGCTTTGTTTTTTTCTGTCTTTGAGATTTTCTGTTTTTCACTCCTTCCCCCAAAAGTATAACTTTCCTTTTGGTTGGGTGGAGGGATTGACTATAAAACATGGAGATTGATTTGTACAGTGGCATATGGAAATGAGTCTTACTATTTTATTGCTGGGTATAACATTTAAAACTGAAAGAAAGCCAAAACCTATAGTCCAAGCTACTTAAGAGGCTGAGGTGGGAGATTCACTTGAGCTTAGAAGTTCGAGTTCAGCCTGGGCAGCATAATGAGACCCCATCCCCTTTAAAAAAAAAAAGAACCAGCGAAAAATTGAAAGGGAGCAATAGAGCTTAGCTGATTTCTTCATAGATGAGGAAACAGGGCCAGAGGGACCTGCCCATGCCTGTATAATTGACAAAGTCTGGGCTAGAATCCAGGCTTCTTCACTCCTTTTCCTAACTGCCCCAGCATTGTTTGTCTCACTCAGGAGAGAAGTTTTAAAGCTCTTAAGAGAAAATTGGCTCTTCTAAATGGTGGCCCTGATAATGGGGGGGGAAGTTAAGCTAAGGAACAAGAGTGGAGACCAGGAAAGAAAAGTAAAATCCTTTTCTTAGAAAGGATTAGAAGTTGAGAAGAAAAAATGGTAGAATGCATGGAGAAGAATATGGAGAAGACTCCCCACCCATAGGAATGGTCAAAACCAGAGAGTGGCAATAAAAATATTGGCAGTTCACAATTTCTAAGAATCTCGTAAAGGCTATCATGTTCCCTGGGCTTTGGTGTCCTTTTTAAAATAATGATGATCTTGAAGTTTGCCTTGGGGCTAACTGGACCTGTACTCTTGCCAGCCCCTGATTTGGCAGACCCAGAGTGCTGAGCATTCTAATTTTGCTGTCTTTCCTGCAGTCCCAGAACCCTTTGGAGGGGCCATCATCATTGGACAGGAGTCAATCACCTATCACAATGGTGACAAATATCTGGCTATTGCTCCTCCTATCATCAAGGTGAGCAGGGTCCTCTCCCTTTTTTTCCTTTCATCTTTTCTTTCCTTGTCCTCACCTTGCTCCTCCCTTTCTCTCATTTGTCAAAACAGAGATTCACAGATGCCTGTGAAACAAATTACTATATATATAAGATATTGTATTGCCCATTGGAATACAGAGAGAGATTAGTCTGGATTTGCTTACAGAGAGCTTGCTTGCTAACTTAGATAAATGATGTAATCAAAATAGGCTGGCTTTTTTCATTGGCTGGGGCAGCTTTCTTTTTTCAAACAGATAGGGTCTTACTCTGCTGCTTACGCTGGAGAGCCAGAGTGGTGGCATGATCATAGCTCACTGCAGCCTCGAACTCCTGGGCTCAAGTGATCCTCTTGTCTCAGCCTCGCACGCAGCTAAGATTACAGGTGTGAACTACCTCATGGGGCAACTTAAAGAAGAGACAGTTTTGGCAAATTCCATTGAATGTAACGTTTTCAGGACTCAAGTCATATAAAGTAATATACTGGTAAATCATATAGACTGAAAAAGTAATAAAAATTTCAAGGCCTTAGAATATCAAGTCGTAAAAATTAAGCCTTAAAGGCTTCATGATTTTTTTTTTGAGAATAAAGAACAAAATCCAGCTGGCTACAATGGTGAGTCCCTGTAGCCCTAGCTACTTGGGAGGATGGCTCCAGTTCAGGAGTTTAAGGCTGCAGTGCACTGTGATTACACCTGTGAATAGCCACCATACTTTAGCCTGGGTGACATAGCAAGACCCTGTCTCTCAAAAAAAAAAAGAACAACATCTGTGGTAGCATTGCCACAGTGGTAGGGAGTAATTAGTGATAGAATAAATAACAGCGTTTGTAGTAGCATTCATAGTTCAGTGAATTTTGGGAGCAGCTTCCTATTCTGTGTATTTGTATCTTCCTGCAGAATGACAGCATATCCGGAAACATAAGGTATATTGATGGAGCTTCTCAGAAAATTATCTTCAAAATAAAAAACCTCCCCATTTTCTATTAACGGGGAATAGGATCTATCTTCATTTTCATGTAATGTCTGAGCCATTTGTCTGCCAGTAAAATGGCTGGGTTTGGTAAAGGGAGTGATCTAGTAGGGTTTGCTTTCTGGTGTGGAAGACACTGACTCTCTAATGACTGTTTCCTCCCCATCGACAGCAAAGTACCATTGTGTGCCACAATCGAGTGGACCCTAATGGCTCAAGATACCTGCTGGGAGACATGGAAGGCAGACTTTTCATGCTGCTTTTGGAGAAGGAGGAACAGATGGATGGCACCGTCACTCTCAAGGATCTCCGTGTAGAACTCCTGGGAGAGGTAGAACTTGTTCTCCCTGTTCCTCTGCAACATTCTCTTAAGTTCCTAGAGATCCCAACTGTGTGGTCCCACACCTTAACTCTGGGAATTACGTTACTTAACACCTAACAACAAACTCTTGTTTCTGCTGTGGAAGGTGACTGTTCAGTGAGTTAGATGTTGGAGAATCTCACAGGATCCTGTGAAAATCTACCTCAGCAGCCTGTGAGAAGAGGAAAAGAAAGGGCAACAGAAAAAGATACATAAAGATTAATCTGGCTGGGTACAGTGGCTCAAACATGTAATCCCAGCACTTTGGGAGGCCAAGGTGGGCAGATTGCTTGAGCCCCAGGAGTTCAAGATTAGCCTGGGCAATATGGTGAAACCCCATCTCTACAAAAAGTAGAAAAATTAGCTGGGTGGTGTGTGCCTATAGTCCCAGGTACTTGGGAGCCTGAGGTGGGGGGATCACCTTAGCCTGGGGAGGTCAAGGTTGAAGTCAGTGAGCCATGATTGTACCACTGCACTTCAGCCTGGGTGACAGTGAGACCTTGTCTCAAAAAAAGAAGAAGAAAAAAAAGATTATTGCTGATTTCAGTTCTGGGAGGAGGTTCCCAAAACGTTTAATATTAATTCTTAGGCAGTGTCTTTTGGAGCAGGAATATGCAAGACAAATTACAGATTTTTCTGAGTGTAGGGATGCAACAGATGGAAGAATCACAAACTTCAGAGATTTAGAAACATTTGCTTATTGTGAGCTGGGGATTTGAAACAGAACTGTCCTGAATTACAGCTGCAGTTGGGAGTTTTCTCAGCAGATGTCTGAGGTGTGGGAAGTGTCTGGATCCCATGTGGAGTCCATTCTCATTTCTTTCATGTTGCTGACTTTTTTCAGACCTCTATTGCTGAGTGCTTGACATACCTTGATAATGGTGTTGTGTTTGTCGGGTCTCGCCTGGGTGACTCCCAGCTTGTGAAGGTGAGAAGACACTTGCTTCTGGTTTTTTTTTTGCTGTCCTCACTGTTTCTTCATCAGATTTCTCCTGTGTTTGGTGCCTCAGAATCTCCATTTTACCCAGCTTTCCACTTCGTTAATTTAACATCCTACCCCTGACTAGCTCTTTGTCACTGTGGTTCATTCAGCAAATTTGCCAGGCAAGATGCTAGGTGCTGTGGATACATCGATGAATAAGACCCAGCTCCCACCTTCAAATAGGTCATAGCTAATGTAATGGACCTCTTCTAGAATATGAAAACTTCGGACCTTCTCTGCAGAAGAATACATGCAAACATTTGACATTTATTTTCAAACATTCGCTACTTCTTGAAATCCATTCATGGGACTCTAGGTCAGCAATCCTTGGTTGATTAATGGGTCACTTGTAGGACAACCATATTCCTTAGCAGTCCCCTTCTGGAATCATCCCTTCGAACACAAGAATGGCAGATCTAGCAGTATCAAGAGTTTCTTTTGGATAATAACCATCTGTTTTGGATAGTCTGTTAGGGTGTTCCAAAACTAACATTGTTCTTTCGTCTTAGCTCAACGTTGACAGTAATGAACAAGGCTCCTACGTAGTGGCCATGGAAACCTTCACTAACCTAGGACCCATTGTGGATATGTGTGTGGTGGACCTGGAGAGGCAGGGGCAGGGGCAGGTAAGGGGCATCCTGAAAGCGGATGATTGGTATGCCCACTCAAACTGTGTCCTCCTAGATATGCTTATCTAGAATGGGGAGGGTGCACTGAAAATACTTTTAAGAGCCCTCTTGTGAATCCCAGTGATACAAGGATAGCTACTGTTTATTGAATGCCTATCTTGGTCTGCCAGGCACTTTATATACATTATCTCTAATCACACCAGTACCTTAGACAGGGATTTTTGGCTATCTTAGAAATGAGGAAAGTTAGGGCTGAGAAAGATTAAGTAACTTTTTCCAGAGTCTACCTAACTAATAAATGGCAGATGTATCTAACTCCAAATCCTGTGCTCATTCTAGTAAACTGGGTCTCAAGGATCTAAGCAAGCTTGCTAGGAGCAGTGGTAGAAGCTTTTTGCTTCCTGGACTAGAATGGTCTATCTGCTCATAAATTTGAAAGACTTTGGAAATCATCCTCTGCCAAGTCTGCGTCCTCACACCTAGCCCCACAATAAAGGTTTTTGGATTTAGTTATACCATGTTTACTTTCTGGGCATTAGTATGACTGGCCTAGTCTCTTGAGGGTGTTCCTTAGAAATGTTTTCTCTAATTGCAGCTGGTCACTTGCTCTGGGGCTTTCAAGGAAGGTTCCTTGCGGATCATTCGGAATGGAATTGGAATTCACGAGCATGCCAGCATTGACTTACCAGGCATCAAAGGTAGCCTTTTGGTGGACATAAGATGCAGATCTTATTTGAGTGACTTTGGCCTCGTCACATGTTGTGAAGGCATTTTGGTGGGAGCTAGAAGAAAGCAGATCAAGTGAAGAGTGAAAGTTTTTTTTCTTTTTTTTTAATTAGAGATGGGGTTTCACCATCTTGGCTAGGCTGGTCTTGAACTCCTGACCTCAGGTGATCCACCCGCCTTGGCCTCCCAAAGTGCTGGGATTACAGGCGTGAGCCACCATGCGGCCTAGAGTGAAACTCTTAACAACAGATCAGAAACTTAAACATATCTGAAAGTAAAACAGTGAACTTAAAAAAAAAAAGAAACTACTACTGTTAAAAATTGGTACTGGAATAGAGGAGTTGGGGATGAAAAGATTATAAATTAAATGTTATTTATATCAGGGAACTGATAGAATTCAGAAAGGGGAGACTGAGGATATTATAGTCGCTAAATTCCAGGAGAATTTTAATTAAAAAAAAAAAAAGATCAGGGGCTAGACGACGTGGTGTGGCTCATGCCTGTCATTACAGCACTTTGGGAGGCCAAGATGGAAGGATCGCTTGAGCTCAGGAGTTTGAGACCAGCCTTGGCAACATAGACTTCATCTCCATAAAAAAAAAAAATTAAAAATTAGCTAGGTGTGATGGTGCACGCCTATGGTTCCAGCTACTTGGTTCTAGTTGAAGTGGACGATCACTTGTGCCTAGGAGTTTGAGGCTGTAGTTAGCCATGATTGTGCCACTGCACTACAGCCTAGGCGACAGAGAGAGACCTTGTCTCACAAAAAAAAAAAAAAAAAAAAAAGAGAGAGAGAAAGGATACACAATGAAAGACATTTACAATGTGTAAAAGTAACCTAAAATGATATGACAATTGATATGGAATGTATCTATCATGTCAGTAAATATAAGTGTCCTGTTTGAGGACAACATAATCAGATTAAATCATAAAGCAAAACCACCTCAAAGTTGTATATAGGAGGCACATCTTTTTAAAAGAGTAATTCTAAAGGCTTGTGCAGTGGTGCCTGTGTGTAGTCCCAGCCACTTGGGAGACTGAGGCAGGAGGATCGCTTGAATCCAGGAGTTTGAGACCAGTCTGGGCAACATAGCAGGATCCTATTCCAATTAAAAATATATAAAAAATAAAAGTATGGGAAAAGGTGAATAAAGAAATAGAAGTATGACTGGGCACGTTGACCAACTCTTGTAATCCCAGCACCTGGGGAGGCCAAGGTGGGTGGATCACTTGATTTCAGGAGTTCGAGACCAGCCTGGCCAACATGGTGAAACTCTGTCTCTACTAAAAATACAAAAAATTAGCCAGGCGTGGTGGACTAAAAATACAAAAAATTAGCCAGGCTTGGTGGCAGGCACCTGTAATCCCACCTACTGGGGAGGCTAAGGCAGGAGAAGCACTTGAACCTGGGAGGTGGAGGTTGCAGTGAGCCAAGATTACACCACTGCACTCCAGTCTGGGCCACATAGTGAGACTCCAGTCGCAAAAAAAAAAAAAAAAAAAGATACCGAAGTATATGAAATTGTAAAGGAAGAGATCATAAAACTACAAAACTCAAGATAATCAACTAAAAAACTATAGACAATAAAAATTCACTAAGGTGAATTTTTACATTATAAAATGATGTACTGAAATAAATAGCTTTCATGTAAACACAGTCAGTTAGAAAGTATAGTAGAGGAAAGGGGGCAATACACAGTAACAAGAAAAAGATAAAGTACCAAGGAGTACATTTAACAAAATTGTGCAAAGCCTAAATAAGGAAAACTTAAAGATACTCCTGAAGGATGAAAAGAACAAGTTGATCAAATGAAAAAGACACACCAAGTTCTGCAAATCAAGATTATAAACCTTTTCTTTCTTTGACTTATATTTGACGTACCTCAGTATCTATACATTTTTTCCTTGACTTAGACAAGTCCAAATGGAAAAAGGAAGAAGCAGGCATAACCAAGAAAACTTTAAAAAGAGCAGGAAGACAGGTTAGCCCTACCAGATACTAAAACATACTATTAAGCTTCTATAATTAGAAGTGTAGTATTAGTGACAAATAGGCAGAGTCTGATGGGTGGATTCAGAAGTCCAGAAATGATATAATTACATGCGGAAATTTGGTATATGATAGTGGTGGTTTCTCAGTTTAGTGAGTAAAGTTGGGACTTTTAAAATTTTTATTTTTATTTATTCATTTTTTGAGATAGGGTCTTACTCTGTCACCCAGGCTGGAGTACCATGGCCTGATCATGGCTTACTATAGCCTCAACCTCCTGGGCTCAAGTGATGACCCGTCTCAGCCTCCCAGTAGCTGGGACTCCAGCCATGCACCACCACACCTGGCTAATTTTTTTTTTTTTTTTTTGGGTAGAGACAGTGTCTCCCTATGTTGCCCAGGCTGGTTTCAAACTCCTGGGCTCAAGTGATCCTCCCTCCTTGAGCTTCCAAAGTGCTGTAATGATAGGCATGAGCCACTATGCCTGGCCTAAAGTTGGGACTTAATCAGTGGTGTTTTGGGGATAACTGGTAGTCATTTGGGAAAAGACAAGTTTGGATTCATACTGCCAAATGTATACTTGGCTAGAATCTGCATGGATGAAAAACTTAATGTAAAAAATGAAGCCATAACTATGACTAAGTACAGAAGCCAAAAAGAAAGATTGATTAATTCAACTATATAAAAATAAAACACTTGATTGCAAAGACAAAACACTACTAGCTAAGTCAGAAGAAATGACAAACCAGATAAAAATATTCTGTACTTCCATCTTATAGACAAGAGGCCCAGTCTTCCTAATTTATAAGAAATTCCCAGAAAGATCACTAAGTTTTCTATCCCCAAACTAGAAAAGGACATGAATGGACAGGCAATAGGCCTGAGAAATGTACATTAGCACCAAACAGCAATACTCTCCTTTACTAGTTGACCAAAATCCAGAAGTTTGACCACATGTTATGTTGGTCAGGCTGTGAGAAAATAAACGTGCTTGTGCATCCTCTACAGAAGGGAATTGGGTAAAATCAAAAACTGCATGTAGTGATTTACCTAGCAGTCCCAGTTCTGAGCCTCTACTTGACCTTCATATGTATAAAGGTCATATGACATAAAAATACAAGTTTATTCCTTGTGGCATTATATGTTATAGCAAAATACTGAATAAATGTCACGAGTAGGGATTTGTTAATCTTCATAATTTAATGGTAATTGTGTAGATAAATAATTTACATAATTCAGTGCTGTGTTCTGATAAGGGCTTTGAGCATATATTGTGAAACAAGAGAACAAGGTGCCAAATAGTTTATGATAGACTATTTTATGTTTGTATTTGCTTGTAATACCTGTGTCCTTAAATTAAAAAAAAATACAGCTTGATATTATGTGGTGCGCCTGAAGTCCTCACTATTTAGGAGGCTGAGGCAGGAGGATCACTTGAGCCCAGGAGATTGAGGCCAGCCTGGAGCAACATAGCAAGACCCCCCCCCCACACCCCATCTCTTTACTAGAAGGCTAGACAAGATGCCTTTATTGATTACTTGTTTGGGGGATGGATTGGAGGGAAATACGGAAATAAGACTTTTCTGTGTGGTTTTAAAAAATAAATTTAGGCCAGGCGCAGTGGTTCATGCCTGTAATCTCATCGCTTTGGGAGGCCAAGGCAGGCAGATCATGAGGAATTCGAGCCCATTCTGGCTAACATGGTAAACGTATCTACTAAAAATAAAATTATCAGGTTGTGGTGGCACCTCCCTATCCCAGCTACTTGAGACGCTGAGGGGCAAGAGAATTGCTTGAACTTGGAAGGCAGAAGTTGCGGTGAGCCAAGATTGCGCCACTGCACTCCAGCCTGGGCAACAGACCAAGACTCCATAATAGATAGATAGATGCAACAGAGCAAGACTCTGTAATAGATAGATAGTTGAAATAGAGCAAGACTCCGAGATAGATAGGATAGTTTGTGTAATGGAAATGTATATAATCCAATCCAAAATTTAAAATATGAGACCCAAAATGGTTTAAAATTATCTAACTTTTTAAGAATCTTAAAGCCAAGAAGGAGCAAGAACAGAGAGGGGGCTTCAGCTCAGGACTGCAAGTTCCAGTCTTTCCAGTGGTGTCTGGCTGCTCTGTCCATATATATACTTTTTTTGGAGACGATCTTGCTGTGCCCCCAGGCTGGAGTGCAATGTCATGATCATAGCTGAAGCGTCTTCCTCCCTCTTCAGCCTCCCATGTAGCTGGGACTGAAGTCTTGTGCCACCACACCTAGCAAGTTCTTTTGTATTTGTAGCAGACCTGAGGTCTCACAATTTTGCCCAGGCTGGTCTTGAACTCCTGGTCCCAAGCGATCCTCCTGCCTTGGCCTTTTCAAGTGTTGAGATTACAGACATAAACCACTGCGCCTGGCCTGCCCTCTCCATAGATGTGCATGCTAAGTGTTGATTTGTCCTGTGTATCTGAATCCTTGGTCCTTGTTCCAGGATTATGGCCACTGCGGTCTGACCCTAATCGTGAGACTGATGACACTTTGGTGCTCTCTTTTGTGGGCCAGACAAGGTAAGGATGGGTCTAGTGCCACCTGTAGGTGCTGGTGAGAAGATCGTGAGGTGGGGAAGCTGGTCCCAGGCTGACCCAGGCCCTCCGTTCTGCTGCAGAGTTCTCATGTTAAATGGAGAGGAGGTAGAAGAAACCGAACTGATGGGTTTTGTGGATGATCAGCAGACTTTCTTCTGTGGCAACGTGGCTCATCAGCAGCTTATCCAGGTGATAACTGAGAAAGGGGCAGGTGTAACTGTGTACTTGAATTGACCTAGAGTGTAGTACAGAGCACCACTGGATTTTAAAACAACCAATTTTTATGACTCCAAAAATAATGTAAAAATTCTAAGGGGAAAAAATTACAGATAACCCACTACTCAGAGATCACAGCTCTTAACTTTAGAGTTGCTCCTTACAGCTTTATTTTTCTTTTGCAAATGTATGTGTATTTATTTACATTTTCTTTTATAGACTTGGATTATTTTATATAGAAATATAAAAATACAGTTTTGGATCCTGTTTTAGCACTAATTATATCTTTCGAGACCTCAGATTTTTTCCCCCTTGTTAAAATAGTGATACATGCTTATTGTAAAATTTGAAAATACCAAAAAGCACAAAAAAAGAAAAAATTAGTCATGATGCTATCATCCAATATGGCTCTTGGCAACCCTTTCCACATATTAATTATAACCGAAGCTTACCCTATTCTGTTCATTATTTTCAGTCTGTCCGTGATATGGGGCCAGATAGCCTTCTGGCATTTGTTATCCACAAGAGCCTCATTTCTGACACCCAGCAATTTTTTGAAGTTTGGAGTGACTCTGATATCCTTCAGCTTTTTTCACTCCCTCCTTACCTTCTGAGCTGTTCTTCTCTGTATGGCCAGGGTCTGTCTTGCCAGTGGTGGGCAGAGCACTGGAGTGCCTGAGGATTAATGAACTGTCTCCATCTTTTTATCCACCTAGTCTTCCTTTTAGCCACCTGGCAGTGGTAGATTGGTAAAACCGGAGGGAAAGTTCTGTCGGTTTGCAGACCAAGTATGGGACGTGCCCAGATACTGAGTCATTGCTTTGTCAGTGTTATCTAACTTTTGGCCTGAAGACTGGCACCAGCTCACCTATCTATTATTAAAGAGCTTTCAACCTTAAATATAAACTCAATCATGCTAGGTAAGATGAATCAATAGGTAACAGTGTCACCAGCCTACTTCCTGTTTTATTTCAGTGATAAATTTATAAAATATATTTCTGTACAATTTTGTAACCTTTACTGAGGAACTTTAAATAATTTAAATGGCTCATACACAGTAAAGAACTTAGATATTTTAGAGGTTTGATTTGGGGGTTGAGAAAAACTGTTAAGACTGGCAGTCACAGCCAGGTGCAGTGGTTCAAGCCTGTAATCCCAGTCCTTTGGGAGGCTGAGGCGGGTGGATTATGAGGTCAGTAGTTCAAGACCAGCCTGGCCAACATGGTGAAACCCCGTCTCTACTCAAAATACAAAAACTAGCCGGGTGTGGTGGCACGTGCCTGTAATCCCAGCTACTTGGGAGGCTGAGGCAGGAGAATAGCTTGAACCTGGGAGGTGGAGGTTGTGGTGAACCGAGATTTAGCCACTGCACTCCAGCCTGGCTGACAGAGTGACACTCCGTCTCAAAAAAAAAAGAAAGACTGCTGATGGTCACAAGATCTTACTCTATTTATACTTTCCCATAGGATGCAGTTTGCATTACCCGAGTAAGCCTCAATTAGAATGAAATAGGCCTTTTTTCCCTTGGCTGTAGGTTTGTAAGCTGTAAGCTACTTAAGCCAGCCTCCTTCAGGCGTTCTCCCAAAAATGGTATTTCTTGTAATCATTAGCAGGACTTTAGGGAATAGAACGTAGAAGCCTCATGTAGCTTATTTGTAGGGCTCTATTAGAGCTGCATTTACCACCTTTCCACTCCTGTGTGGATCCTGGCAGATGCTTGGAGACATCTGCTGTCTGCTCTTTATCTAGATCACTTCAGCATCGGTGAGGTTGGTCTCTCAAGAACCCAAAGCTCTGGTCAGTGAATGGAAGGAGCCTCAGGCCAAGAATATCAGTGTGGCCTCCTGCAACAGCAGCCAGGTGGTGGTGGCTGTGGGCAGGGCCCTCTACTACCTGCAGATCCATCCTCAGGAGCTCCGGCAGATCAGGTATGTGTGTTTTTTTGTCTGCTTGCTTTTCTCCTCTTTTCTCTAGGACTTCTTTGATACTTGGAGTCCCTCTTCTGCCATATTCTTTGTTCAGCCACACAGAGATGGAACATGAAGTGGCCTGCTTGGACATCACCCCATTAGGGGACAGCAATGGACTGTCCCCTCTTTGTGCCATTGGCCTCTGGACAGACATCTCGGCTCGTATTTTAAAGCTGCCTTCTTTCGAACTACTGCACAAGGAGATGCTGGGTGGAGGTATGTGTCATTTAGTGACCTCGTTGGGATCAGAGTCAAAATGTGGAACAAGAACATAACGTCCCCATTTCCCACAGAGATAATTCCTCGCTCCATCCTGATGACCACCTTTGAGAGTAGCCACTACCTCCTTTGTGCCTTGGGAGACGGAGCACTTTTCTACTTTGGGCTCAATATTGAGACAGGTGAGCATAGAAAAGAGTGAGGGACTCTTTCAAAAACAGAGTATTCGAATTACCCAGAACTCTTAGTTCCAGGGTTCTGCTTTTGAACTTTCACAGGCCAGCTGTTTGTCCTGTTTTCTTTCTTCCTTTCTCCTGATGTCGTTCTCTCTGTAGGTCTGTTGAGCGATCGTAAGAAGGTGACTCTAGGCACCCAGCCCACTGTATTGAGGACTTTCCGTTCTCTTTCTACCACCAACGTCTTTGCTTGCTCTGACCGCCCCACTGTCATCTATAGCAGCAACCACAAATTGGTCTTCTCAAACGTCAACCTCAAGGAAGTGAACTACATGTGTCCTCTCAATTCGGATGGCTATCCTGACAGGTGAGTCTCTTTTTCCTTATTTAATGAGAGCTACTGATTGAGGGCATCATGTTTTCCTCAAACCCTTACCTCAAAGCCTTTTTCCATTGTCAAAGTCAGTAAATGAGTGGGAAGTACAGCTAGTGCAGAGGTTCTTAAATCTGGCTACCCAATAGAAACATGGGAAGTTTTTTAAACTACAGGGTTTTTGGAATCCTTTTCAGAGTCTGATTCAGTAGGTCTGAGGTTGAGCTCTGGAATCTGTATTTTCAGAACTGAGGTGATTCAAATGATTGTTTCATAACCCCTAATTTAGAGATCATTTTGTGTCTCTCTAGAGCAGGAGTTCTCAAAGGGTGGCCCCAACCAGCAGCTACAGCACTAGTTGGGAATTTGTTAGAAATGCAGATTCTCTGGCCAGGCACAGTGACTCACGACTATAGTCCCAACACCTTGAGAGGCTGAGGCAGGAGGACCCTTTGAGGTCAGGAGTTCAAGATCAGCCTGGCCAACATGGTGAAACCTTGTCTCTACTAAAAATACAAACTGGGAGTGGTTGCATGTGCCTGTAATCCTAGCTACTTGGGAGGCTGAGGCAGGAGATTCAAAGAAGGTTGCTGGGCGTGGTGGCTTGTGCCTGTAATCCCAGCCTTGCCCAGTTGAGGCGGGTGGATCACCTGAGGTCAGGAGTTCGAGACCAGTCTGGCCAATATGGTGAAACCCCACGTCTACTAAAAATACAAAAGTTAGCCGGGTGTGGTGGTGTGCACCTGTAATCCCAGCTACTCGGGAGGCTTAGGCAAGAGAATTGCTTGAACCCAGGAGGCAGAGGTTGCAGTGATCCAAGATTGTGCTGTTGCACTCCAGCCTGGGTGACAGAAGCAAGACTGTCTCAAAAAAAAAGAAAGAAACTGGGAGGTGGAGGTTGCAGTGAACTGAGATTGCCTCACTGCACTCCGGTCTGGGTAACAGAGCCGAGACTCTGTCTCAACAAAAAGAAAGAAATGCAGATTCTCAGGTCCCACCCTGACTCACAGACAGAATCAGAAAGTCTGGATGGGGGCCCAGCAGACTGTGTTAACAAGCCCTACAGCAGGCAGTAGTTTGAAAGTCACTATTCTGGAGCAATGCTTTATTTTAATATTAATTTTAATTAATTAATTAATTTATTTATTTATTTATTTTTTTGGCGGGGGGAGGAAGGCAGGAAGGAAGGGAATAAGGACGGTAGGGAGGAAGGAAGGAAGGAAGGGAGGAAGCGGGGAGGGAGGGAGGGAAGGGAAGAAAGGAAATCAAGCAGTGAAAGAGACATTGCCAACCTGGATCTAGAGGTTTACAAGTTGATTTCTTTTTTTTTGAGAGAAGGAAAGAAAAAAAAATAATAATAATAATAAGTAAAGGAGAGGAAGAAAGAGGGAGAGTAAATGGAAATATTGCTTTATTTTGAAAAAAATTGGGTATTAATAATGGCCAATCAATGTTTCATTTAAACTAATGGGTAGGTGTGATGTGGTATTGACAAGAATGTATATTTTGTGTATTTGAAGTGGAGAGCTCTATAAATATTTATTAAGTTTACTTGTTCCGGATCTGAGTTGGAGTCCTTGATATCCTTATTAATTTTCTGTCTCATTGAATCTAAGTTCCTATCTGGGTGTTAGGATCGTTAGCTCTTGTTGTTGCATTGATCCTTTTACCACTATATCTTTGTTGCTTTAAAATCTATTTTATCCGATACGAGAATTGCAGCTCCTGCTTTTTATTTATTTATTATTTATTTTTGCTCTCCATTTGGTTGGTAAATCTTTCTCCATCCCGTCGTTTTGAGTCTTTGTGTATCCTTGCATGTGAAACAGGTCTGGATGTAACATGCCGTTGGGTTTTGGCTGTGTCTTTTGTTTGGGAATTCAGTCAATTTAAATTTAGGGTTACTGCCATTTGATGTTGACTGGCTGTTTTATCCATTTGTTGGTATAAATTCTTCTTTATGTTGGTGCTCTTTACTTTTTGGTATATTTTTAGAAAGGCTAATACTGGTTGTTTCTTTCTGTGTGTAATGCTTCTTTCAGAAGCTCTTGTAAAGCAGGCCTGGTGGTAATAAAATCTCTGAGTTCTTGCTTGTTCATAAAAGATTTTATTTTTCCTTCAGTTGTGAAGCTTAGTTTGGCTGGATATGAAATTCTGGGCTGAAGGTTCTGTTCTTTGAGGATGTTGAATATTGGCCCCCACTCTCTTCTGGCCTGTAGAGTTTCTGCCAAGAGATCTGCTGTAAGTCTGATAGGCTTGCCTTTGTGGGTAATCTGACCTTTCTCTCTGGCTGCCCTTAGTATCCTCTCCTTCGTTTCAACCCTGGTGAATCTAACGATTATGTGCCTTGGGGTTGCTCTTCTTGAAGAATATCTTTGTGGTGTTCTCTGTATTACCTGGGGTTGAATGTTGACCTGCTTTGCTAGTTTAGGAAAATTTTCCTGAATAATATCCTGAAGGGTATTTTCCAGCTTGGATTCATTCTCTCCGTCGCATTCAGGTACACCTATCAAACGTAAATTTGGTCTTTTCACATAGTCCCACATTTCTTGGAGACTTTGCTCATTCCTTTTTATCCTTTTTTCTCTAATCTTTTCTTCACGTTTTATTTCATTAAGTTGGACTTTGACCTCTGATATCCCTTCTTCTGCTTGAACAATTCGAGTATTTAAACCTGTGCATACTTCTCGGAGTTCCTGTATTGTATTCTTCAGTTCCATTAATTCACTCATACTCCTCTCTAAGTTGTCTGTTCTCAATAGGATTTCATCAAACCTTTTTTCAAAGTTCCTAGTTTCTTTACGTTGGGCTACAACATGTTCTTTTAACTCACTGAAGTTTGTTATTATCCATTCCTTGAAGAGTGATTCTGTCATCAGGAGGCGCTCGTTCTCCATCAAGCCTTGTTCCATTGTTGATGTGGAACTGTGATCATCTTTAGAGGGAGAGGCGTTCTGACTTTGAGTATTCTCAGCTTTTTTATGCTGGTTTCTTCCCGTCATTGTAAATTTATCCTCCTGTAGTCTTTGAAATTACCAACTTTCAGATTAGGTCTCTTGAGTGGACGTCCAGGTTGTTAGTTCCCAGGGCCAGAGCAGCGGCGTTAAAACTGATGGTGCTTTTCTGCCCAGGATTCCCCTGTCGGGCTTCCTTCTTGTTTCCGTAGTAGTTTACTCTGTGCCTAGCGCTGCCGCGTCGAGGTGCCGGCGGAACCGCTGCGCCGACCACGAGAGTTGCGCTGGTGACTCGTGTGTTTCCACCACTGGGGGATCTTCTGCTCCTTGAGCGACCAGACTTTGTCTGAAAGTGTGGCGTCCTCTAGTTCTCCGCGCCTTCCCTGAGAGCTGCAATCCCGGGATGTTAGCGATCGGCCATCTTGGATCGTTCCTAATTTTAATTTTTAACTGGCCGCACATTATCATTAAATGGAAAACTGTTAAAAATACCAGTTTAGGCTCACCCAGACTAATTAAATAAGAGTATTTTGTGGATGGGACCAGGAATCAGAATTGTCTCTCCAGGTGATGTTTAGCATGGAGTCAAAGCTGGTGTAATTCTGCCTTGTTTTTCTTCCTGTGTGGAGTTGCCTCATAGAATGTTTGCTTTCCTTGAGTCTCCTCAGTCTAAACCCAGACACTTCTTTCCAGCCTGGCGCTTGCCAACAATAGCACCCTTACCATCGGCACCATTGATGAGATCCAGAAGCTGCACATTCGCACAGTTCCCCTCTATGAGTCTCCGAGGTGAGCCCCAGGGTGGGAGAGTGGGGTGTGGGAGTTGGTGTAGGACACTTCTGACTTTCTAAGTGACACTGTTGTTCCATACTTGTTCTACAGGAAGATCTGCTACCAGGAAGTATCCCAATGTTTCGGGGTCCTCTCCAGCCGCATTGAAGTCCAAGACACGAGTGGGGGCACAACAGCTTTGAGGCCCAGTGCAAGCACCCAGGTAAGGGCAGTGGACAAAGAAATATGACATTAGAGTAGGCAAGCTTTCTGTAAAGGCCAGGTAGTAAAGGCTTTCAGCTTTGTAGGCAATGTGGTCTCAGTTACAACTAACTGTTCAACTTTGCCATTGTAGCCTAAAAGCAGCTACAGGCAACAGGTAGGCATAGCTAGCTTCTATAAAAGTTTATTTATGAAAAATAGTTGCTACTTGGTGGCCTTGCAGCATGAATAATTTCTTTTCTGTCACCATCAATTTGGGTTCTTTGTAGGGTATGTGTGATTGGGGGCAGAGTAGTAGAATAGGGAGGAGCATGGGGTTTAGAGTCCGACAGAACTGGCATCCAGGTTTTTTTTTTTTTTTTCTTTGAGTCTTGCTCTGTCACCCAGGCTGGAGTGCAGTGTCATGATCTCAGCTCACTGAAACCTCCACCTCCCGGGTTCAAGCAATTCTTCTGCCTCAGCCTCCCAAGTAGCTGGGATTACAGGTGCCCACAACCATGCTGAGCTAATTTTTGTATTTTGAGTAGAGACAGGGTTTCACTGTGTTGGCCAGGCTGGTCTCGAATTCCTGACTTCGTGATCTTCCCGCCTTGACCTCCCAAAATGCTGGGATTACAAGCATGAACCACTGTGCCTGGCTTCTAGGTTTGTTGCTAGCTGTGTGACCTTGGGAAAGCTTAAATTTCAACTTCTCATCTGCAGAATGAGGCGGATAACAGGACAGTCTGGAGCTACGCATTCTAGGCTCAGTGGAGATACCAGCTGGTCATTTTATTCCATGTATTCTCTGCCTTTCTTGTTCCCAGACATCTGCCATAGGACCTCCCCCTGTAGTCCAGAGTTGAAGTCTTCATGGCTTTTGTTTTTATTTGAAGTGCCCCCCTCCTCTTTCCACTGAGGGTAGTGGAGTCTGTCCCTTTATTAAGGTCACCTGAGTTCCCTTTTAGCTGTGCTTGCTTGACTTGCAACATCACTGTTTAGTCTTTAATTACCCTTAGATTTTCACTGTGTTTTGGATTGATGTTTCAGCTACATGCCTCCTCTGGAGCACTCTTCCTTAGGCTTCTTGAGCTGTCAGCCATCAGAGTTCTTGGCTAGCTGCAACCTCTGTGTTCCCCATCAGACGGGTCCCTTCACAATGATGTCTCAAAGCTTCTGCTTATGAGAAGGATGATGTGCATTCTCTCTGTTCGCAGGCTCTGTCCAGCAGTGTCAGCTCCAGCAAGCTATTCTCCAGCAGTACAGCTCCTCATGAGACCTCCTTTGGAGAAGAGGTGGAGGTGCACAACCTACTTATCATTGACCAACACACCTTTGAAGGTGCACATGAGCTCTTTCGGTCATTTTTATCTATGTCCTCGCTAATCCAGGCTGTTCTGGGCTCTTGAACAGTCCAAAGCCTGACAAATTGTGGCAGACCATCCTAGGAGGAGCAGAAAGGAGGGACGGGAACTCTGAAATGGCAGTGAGTTTGGAGGGCTGGACATCCTCTCGTCAGCTTAGGCTGGTGGGGGATGGATAATCTGATGAGATAGGGACAGCAGGTGGCACACACTTTGTCACTGCCTAAGCCGCAGGCCTCACAGAAATATGGGGTTAGGTGTGCATGCAGATGTGGGCAACTTATCATCACATAGTCCTCTCTCTACTCTATTTAGTGCTTCATGCTCACCAGTTTCTGCAGAATGAATATGCCCTCAGCCTGGTCTCCTGCAAACTGGGCAAAGACCCCAACACTTACTTCATTGTGGGCACAGCAATGGTGTATCCTGAAGAGGCAGAGCCCAAGCAGGGTCGCATTGTGGTCTTTCAGTATTCAGATGGTAAGTGGGCACGGTCTTCAGTTTCTGAGGAATGTGAAATGCTGAGAAAGTCAGAAAGCCATTGTGAGGTTTTAGAGAACCTCAGTTAAGCAGTAGAAGAACTTGGGTTTATTGTTGTAAAGAGCTGTTCTCTTCTTTATCTGATTGAATTTTGGAGCATGTGAACAGTACACAAGTAAAATTTAGCTTATGTTTTCTTTTTTTGCTATTCTTTGAAAGGCCAAAAAAAAAAGGAGGGGTGGGAGAAGTGAACAATGGGTAAGGGGATCTAGTGACAACCGGCATGAAAATTAAGATCCTAGATTTGTTTTCCACTTGGTTGCTCAGGCATTTAGGTGCTCTTTCCAGCTTCAGCACTGTGTTTACTTTTTAATCTCTTTTCTCACTACACCCGCCCAAGATGGCTCTAAAGACTATGAGCTTGGAAATCTCAGATCAGACGGCTGAAATGGGATTTGGTTTCCATCTTGAGAGACAGATCTGGAGTTTCAGGATGAGGGGTAGATCCTAGATACCAACTGGATTTCTCTGCACATTATCTTGAGGCTCATACTTTAGGTGGTGGTTAACCCCACTTAGATACTGAGTCTGATTTTTTTTTTAGATAAGTAGTTTTGGGGGGCAGGAATTAGTACCAGCGGGGCAACCAGAGGATTCTTTTTGACTAGGTAAAGTATGGGCTCATAGAAAAGAGACTCAAGCATATCTTTCTGCCCCCAGGAAAACTACAGACTGTGGCTGAAAAGGAAGTGAAAGGGGCCGTGTACTCTATGGTGGAATTTAACGGGAAGCTGTTAGCCAGCATCAATAGCACGGTGAGGCCTGGACCACTTGGTACTTACTTTAGGCTGCCCATCATTGTTTGCACAATGTGTCAACCTCTCATGTCTGGGACCCTGTGTTCATCAGATTTTAAGGGTAACAAAGTAGTGGGTGTGGTGGATAGAGCTCTAAGTTGGGAATCTGGGAAACTGAGGTTGAACCAGGCATTGGACAAGGTTATATGGAACCCCATGTGTTTCAGATCCTGAGTGCTGTGGGAGTTCAGAAAGAAATGAGAGCTCTGGGCCCTGCATGTAGGGTGTTCCATGCCAAGAGAAAGAAAGCCAAATCAGAATATCCTAAGTACATCCCTGAAAGATAGTCCTTTGAAATATTCCACTGCTTCTGCCATGACCCTACCTCCTCCCTTGCTAAAAAGTTCTTTTTTCCATCTTTATTGAGGTAAAATTGACAAAAATTTTATATATCGAAAATGTACAACTTGATTTTTTGGGGGTAGTTGGGAGATAGCAGTAAACAAAATGGACATTAAGCTGCCCTTTTGGAGTTTATGAGCAAATAAAGTACATAGTATGTGAAGTGGTGAGAAATTAAAGGTGCAAGGGCTGGAGGAATGCCAGGAAGAACATGGCAGTAGTGTTTGCTATTTCCTATCACATGGTCAGGAGGGTCTTGTGGATACACAGTGGCATTTGGGCAGATTCCAAAATGAAGGGAGGTAGAACCCTACCTGTGCTTGCGGAAGACAAGTGCAGTGGGTGAGAGGTCAGAGGTGAGAGTGGGCCGGCCTGATGTCTGCGGGGACTGAGCTGATGGTCTGGTGGGAGTCGAGTCCAATGGGCAGCCAGGGACCAGAACGTTCAGAACCTGGTAGGCCATGTCAGGGTTTTATGTAGAGTGTGATGAAAACCTCTGGAAGGTTTGAGCAAGCATTTGAGTCAGTTAGGGGAGGCTCTTAGTAATCCAGGTTGCTGGGACCAGGCAATGATAGAGGAGAGGATGAAGAGTAGTCGTATTTTGCTTACATTATGAGGGTAGGATTGAAGGACTTTGGTGATAGATTGAAGATGAGATGTGAGAGACAGAGGAATAAAAGGTCAGGGGTTTTGGCTTTGCCATTTACTGATGGGAAAGATAATGGGCGCAGCAGGTTTGGAGTGGATATACTCAGTTTCATTGGTTATCTAAGTGGAGATGTTCACTAGGTAACAATGAGAGAGTTACGGAATCCAGGGAAGAGATTGGCTGGAGATACTAGCATGGCAGTTAAAGCTAAAAATCTGGGTGACCTCACCTAGGACCGCCCATCTGCTGAGAGCCCATAGCGAATGGATTTGAAGACAGCCCTGGAGCTGTCCAGCATTTGAAAGATAGGGTGAAGATCCAGCCAAACAAAAAGGGAGACTTGTGAAGTAGGAGGAGAACTGAGAGAATAGTGTTTTGGAATTCATGGAGAAAAAGTATTTGAAGCAGGAGGGAATTGGTAAACTGTAAGTGTTGCCAGTAGGTCAGGTAACATAAGGCTAAACACTTGGTCATTGGTTTCAGTAACATGGAAGTCGGTGGTAAACTTGATCAGAGCTCTTGGTTGAGTGATGGGGCTAGAAACCTGATTGCAGTTGGCTGACCTGAGACTAGGAGGAAAGGAAGCTGGTACAGAAAACCCCTCAGGGAGTTTGTAGTAAAGGAGAGAATGATGGGGACAGTGAAATTTCAGGATAAGAATTTTCTCTTTTTAATTTTTCAAGCTGGGAAATACTGCTGCATGTTTTCTATGCTCATGGGACTGTTGTTAGAAAGAGAATTGTTTGGAGAGCTGTTATTCTTGGCCAGGTAGAAAGGAGGTGGGATCTCCCAGTGGCAGAGAAGGGAACAGACGTGGAAGTTTATGGAAATGCCATTTTGGCTGTTTCCCTGTTTTCTGTGAAATTTCTGAGAGAGAAGATGGGGAGGAGATATTGGCAATTTGAGTAGAATGTAAAAAGGATGAGTTCATTGTTTTAGGACCAGAAAAGTGAGTGAAATAGGAAAACCCACGATTCCTGAGTGATTTAAGAATCCCCCTTTCAGTTAGTAGTCTTGAATTTAAAAGAACAGTCATCCTGTTGGTTGGTTTTCCTTACCGGTAATGGAAGATGAAAATTTAATCCAAGTCAAGTTTTGTTGGGGGAGCATGAGAAAGGGGAGAAGGGTCAGGGCATTGAGAATCTGCAAGGCAGTGATAATGTGATTGTGGTGGTGGACTCTGGGCGTCTGAGAAGAGGCAGAGCAGAGGACATGAGATTCAGGAAGAGTGCAGTTACTTGTAATGCCAGCCTTTAACAGGTGGTCATAAGAATGGACAAAGTAAGTGAGAAATAAGGGTTTAGAAAAGCTAAGAGGTGAGGGTACTAGAAGGACCTTCTCTGTGAGTATTATAGTCACCAAGACTTATAAGAGGTTATGTGGGAGAGAGTGATGGGTGGGATGGGAATTCAGGTGACTGCTTTAATGGATGATGGTGGTTGTGTGGCCTGGTGGTGTGAGCTTCAAAACTGTGGTGTTTTTGGGGAAGGAGTGACAAGTCTGAAAGAGCAGAGGAGGAGTGTGGGAGACTGCTATCTCCTGTTCCAGTGCTAGGAGAGACAGTGGAAGAGAGAACAGACAAGAGGGCCACAGGGCCCTTATGAAAGAGCCACGGATATCAGTTAGAATGAGAAGGTGAAGGGTTTGCCCAGAGAAGAGGCTGCCCATGATTAATGACTGTGTTCGAGAGGGTGCAGTGAGTAGGCAAGGGATCAGGAGGGTGGAGGGTGGCATCTGAGGTGAGGTAAGGACATATCTATTCTGTTGCTGGCCAATAGAAATAAGAGTGATGTATGTCATTCTAAATTTCTAGTAGCCACACATGCAAAAAGGAGCAGGTGAGATGAATAAGATATTTTATTTAACCCAATATCTAAAATATTAGCATTTCCACATGTAATCAGTATAAAAACCATTATTAAGATGTTTTACATTTTTTCATACTGATAATTCAAAATCTGGCGTGTGTTTTACACTCAGAACACATCTCAACTTTGACTAGGCACATTTCAAGTGTTTCACAGCCGGGTGTGGCTAGTGACTACTGTATTGGACAGTGGAAGTCTATAAGCTTTTGGGAAGAGAATTGGAGTCTTGAGCTTATAGTGGTGTCTGGCCTTGGTCTTGACTCCCTCCAAGGTGACGGGAAGGTTGAGAGCATGGAGAGAGAGTGGAACAGGTGGAGCTCTGAGGCCCTTTCTTCACTCCGTCTGGTGTGGAGGCCCAGCAAGGTGGGCTTACCTGAAGATCGGGCACTCTGGAGGTACTTTTTACCCTGTGATAGAGGTGTGGTAACCATTCGTAATTATTTTTTTTTCTTTTCTTTTTGGGTTGGAGTGCAGTAGTGCGATCTCAGTGCACTGCATCCTCCGCCTTCCGGGTTCAAGTGATTTTCCTGCTTTAGCCTCCTGAGTAGCTGAGATTACAGGTGTCCGCCATCATGCCCAGCTAATTTTTTGTTTTTTTTAGTAGACATGGGGTTTCACCATGTTGACCAGGCTGGTCTCAAGCTCCTGACCTCATGATTCGCTCACCTCCGCCTCCCAAAGTACTGGGATTACAGGCGAGAGCCACCGTGCCTGGCCTGTTTTTTTTTCTTTTTGAGGCAGAGTCTTGCTCTGTGGCCAGGCTGGAGTGCAGTGGCGCAATCTCGGCTCATTGCAACCTCTGACTCCCTGGTTCAAGCGATTCTCCTGCCTCAGCCTTCTGAGTAGCTGGGATTACAGGCATGCGCCATATGCCCAGCTAATCTTTGTATTTTTAGTAGAGATGGGGTTTCACTATGTTGGTCAGGCTAGTCTCGAACTCCTGACCTCAGATGATCCACCCTCCTTGGCCTCCCAAAGTACTGGGATTACAGGCGTGAGTCACTGCACCCGGCTAACCATTGTAATGACTATAAATGGCTTTTGGAATATATTCCTGTGTAGCTACGGTTCTTTGGACACATTTTGAGAAATTGTGGCTTAATTAATATGTTCTGCCCGGGAGTTTCTAGATATGCAGAGGCCATGGGGATTATCTGGATCCTGAAGTATCTGCCAGGGAAGTCTTGTCAGCTCAGACAGGTTGAGTTTGTCTTCTTTAGCTCTGGGCCGTGCCAAGTATCTCTCCATTTGTCTACTGATAATAAAGCATATTCATTCTACCTTTTTTTTTTGAGTTGGAGTTTTGCTCTTGTTGCCCAGGCTGGAATGCGGTGATGTGATCTCAGCTAACTTCAACCTCTACCTCCCGGGTTCAAGCGATTCTCCTGCCTCAGTCTTTCTAGTAGCTGGGATTACAGGAGGATGCCATGATGCCCAGCTAATTTTTGTGTTTTTTATAGAGACAGGGTTTCGCCATGTTGATCAAGGCTGGTTTCGAACTCCTGACCTCAGGTGATCCACCGCCTTGGCCTCCCAAAGTGTTGGGATTACAGGCGTGAGTCTCACGCCACCTCGCCTAAAAGCATCTACATTCTTTTGGAGATGTGGTTGTAATTGCAAACACTATGATGGAGACACAAGAAAGCAGAGTTTCTTTTTTCCTCTTGGGAGTTGTTAGAGTATGACCACAGAATCAGGCACTTCAGGTTCCTTTAGTTATTTGACAATGTTTCTATTGGGCTTTTCTCTTCTTTTCTTTTTTTGAGACAGAGCCTCACTGTGTCACCCAGGCTGGGAGGCAGTGGCATGATCTTGACTCACTGTAACTTTTGCCTCCTGGGTTCTTGAAATTCTTGTGCCTCAGCCTCCTGAGTAGCTGGGATTACAAGTGCGGGCCACTAAGCCTGGCTAATTTTTGTATTTTTAGTAGAGATGGGGTTTTGCCATGTTGGTCAGGATGGTCTGGAACTCCTGGCCTCCAGTTATCCACCTGCCTTGATCAACCAAAGTGTTGGGATAACAGGCGTGAGCTACCACACCCAGTCTCTGTTGGACTTATGTTCGTTTTCTCTACTCATTGGGTTCACATCAGAGAAAGGTATCAGGTTTTTTTTGTTTTGTTTTGTTTTTGTTTTTTGGAGACAGGGTCTCACTCTGTTGCCTAGGCTGGAATGCAGTCATGTGATCTCAGCTTACTGCAACCTTAGCCTCCCAAGTAGCTGGGATTATAGGTGCACGCCATCACTGCCTGGCTAATTTTTGTATTTTTAGTGGAGACAAGGTTTCACCTCATTGGCCAGGCTGATCTTGAACTCCTGATCTCAATGATCCACCCCCCTCAGCATCCCAAAATGCTGGGATTACAGGTGTGAGCCACCACGTCTGGCCCGGTATGAGTTTTGAGAAGGGTTCAGAAAAGGTGGTTTGTTGGGAGGTGATGTTACTTCTTTTTGATCAGGAAATTGGAGACTGATCTCTTTCCACAGATATTTCCTCAGGTCAGTTACCAAACTGCAGAAGTCACAAGAAGATCTATAGTATTATACCCACATTCCTGCTTCCTTTACGTGGACTATTTTTTTATGTAAAGGAAAACTTGGGAAGTTTTGTATTCCTAGTTTGGTGTGTTCATTGTGTTTTCATATTTCATAAATAATAGCAAAATAATAAATGTTCACCCCAGTACCTCACAAAACCGTTTCTCTTCCCGCATTGCACTTTGAGAAGTGGTGCTGCAGATGGAGGATCAAGGAGTTGGGGGGCAGTCATTCTGAGAGCTCTGGTCCCTTTGGCTGAGAGAGACAATATGCCTTTCCCAGGTGCGGCTCTATGAGTGGACAACAGAGAAGGAGCTGCGCACTGAGTGCAACCACTACAACAACATCATGGCGCTCTACCTGAAGACCAAGGGCGACTTCATCCTGGTGGGCGACCTCATGCGCTCAGTGCTGCTGCTCGCCTATAAGCCCATGGAAGGAAACTTTGAAGAGGTGATGGTGGTGGGGGAATGCTAGCAGACTTCGTGCTTGAGCCACAGCTCCTGCAAGTGTCTCTGGTGGGGAAAGATAATCCAGCCCAGTATTAGGGGCAGAAATGTTTTCCCTGGAACAGACATTCTACATTGATGAAGTATTTTTAGAGACTCCCAATTTGAACTCTGAGTAGGCTCCGTCTCTGGGGCAATTGGCAATCAAAAGGGCTGCCTTGGCAGAGAGGTCAAGGGAGAATCCCTCTGGGGTGACACTTGTTAAACATGGGGCTACATCTTCTGCAGGGTGGGGCCTTGCTCCTGAATAAAGGAAACGCAAGTCCCAGAACTGAATTCCACACACAAACTGCTGATTGTGTTTTCTTGTTTCACCTTGTCTGTTTTAAGATTGCTCGAGACTTTAATCCCAACTGGATGAGTGCTGTGGAAATTTTGGATGATGACAATTTTCTGGGGGCTGAAAATGCTTTTAACTTGTTTGTGTGTCAAAAGGACAGGTGAGTAGTGACCAGCTCTGGGAGTGGTAGGGAGAGATGGGAGCTCCTGGGTCTCTGGTGGATGCAAGCATTGGGTTCTATGTCAGATTCAGGTGGTCCTCTTTACAGAGACAGAACTTTGCCCATGAGAGAATAAAAGGTCACAGAAATCCACCTCTTTAGGCTGGCTCCCCTACTGTGGAGTATGTCAGCTCCCCAGGGAAGTTCAGTGCTGTGTCCACTGCACGTGGTCCTGTCTCAGGGCCTGTGGTGGAAACAGGAGGTTTAGGAAGTGACTTTCTCACCGCTTTTCAGCGCTGCCACCACTGACGAGGAGCGGCAGCACCTCCAGGAGGTTGGTCTTTTCCACCTGGGCGAGTTTGTCAATGTCTTTTGCCATGGCTCTCTGGTAATGCAGAATCTGGGTGAGACTTCCACCCCCACACAAGGCTCGGTGCTCTTCGGCACGGTCAACGGCATGATAGGTAAGGTCAACCCCTGCAGGGCACACCCCCACACAGGCCTCCTTCCTCAAACCACCATTCTGAGGGACTGGGTAAAGCAACTGGACAAGACCTAGGCATTCAGTAGAGGAGGCTGCAGCACATTAGCCCTCCCTGTGCTGCTCACCTGGGCTGCTCTTTATGTAGAGGATGCCTGCTATGGGGTTGAGCTCTCTGCAGCTCACTGCCTCCTTCACTTCTTCAGGGCTGGTGACCTCACTGTCAGAGAGCTGGTACAACCTCCTGTTGGACATGCAGAATCGACTCAATAAAGTCATCAAAAGTGTGGGCAAGATTGAGCACTCCTTATATCCTTTTCAGAGCCATCTGCTTACTGGAAAGCACATCCTGGCATATGTGGCACATGCAGTCACATTACCCGGAAGCTGTTACATGTCTTGGTTAGGTTCCTATACAGAATAGGTTTTTTGCTTTGTTTTGTTTTTGACTTTTTCATGTGGAAAATTTCAAACATACACAATAGTGAGAACAGTATGACGACTCCCAAAGCAAGTACTTATCACCCACCTTTTGCTGGTCCGTCTTGGAAATGTACATTTGTACTCCTGAAATGTGTCCACCTCTGGCCTTCTCACTGTGGAACGCCAAATATAAGTTTAGATTACAAAACAGGCGCACATCCTTTCAGGGATCTTGTTGAGGGCAGCAGTGTCTGAGACTAGAGAGACTACCAGAAGAAGGTAAAAGGTGAAGAAGCGGAAAATGCCAAAGCTCAAGAATCAGCCACCCTGGGACCTTCAGAATCCAAGTGCTATTGGAAATATGGTTAGTACAGGAAATACAAAGGGCCGTCCCCGCCCCTGCTGGAGGTGGGAGGAGCTCCTGCCTGTGACTGTGGTAGTCAAGGAGGGCTGATGGGCTGACTGCTATTTTTTGGCTAACTAGCAAGACTTGACAGCCCTGTCTCACTGAGTCTCCGTTTATTTATTTACAGAGCTGCTGCTTTTCTTTCTTTCTTTTTTTTTTTTTTTTTTTTGAGATAGGGTCTTGCTCTGTTGCCCAGACTAAAATGCAGTAATAGGATCATGGCTCACTGCAACCTTGACATTCTGGACTCAAGTGATTCTCCCACCTTAGCCTCCTGAGTAGCTGGGACTTAGGCACATGCCACCTCACCTGGCTAATTAAATTTTTTTTTTGTTTCTTAGAAACAGGATTTCACTATGTTGCCTAGGTTTGGTTTTGAACTTAAGGACTCAAACGATCCTCTTGCCTCAACCTCCCAAAGTGCTGGGATCACAGATGTGAGCCACCACCACACTGGCCCCTCTGTGGAGCTTTGGGGCAAGACTTAGATGAGTGGTTCTTGTGCATCAGCTTCGCCTAGAGTGCTTTAAAAGAACTTCCATACACATACAGGCTTCACATTCATAGAATCTGATCTGTACTTTCAAAAACTATTTTGAAGATCACCCCAATTATTCCTTAACTCATACGTCCACCTGGAGATCCTTTCACACCGAGCGGAAGACAGAACCAGCCACAGGCTTCATCGATGGTGACTTGATTGAGAGTTTCCTGGATATCAGCCGCCCCAAGATGCAGGAAGTGGTGGCAAACCTACAGGTGGGGCCAGTCAAGTCTCTTGCAGGTTGGGGTGTGCCAGGAGACTGTCCCTGGGTACCCTTCTTTCTCAGTTCCAAGATGCCAGGGGTCCTCTGTAATCCTTACCAGATGGAAGGTGGAGTCTGAGGGGAAGGAGATGTTTGTGGTTGTGGCTTGTGGGTACCCACTAGGTACCAGTCTCTGTGCTAGGGAATCTACCCATGTTAATCCTGTCCTTGAGCAATGAATACACTTTTGGGATCTCTGACGAGACCCAAAGGTGGGAGGCAGGGTCAGGATATCCCACAGGGAGGAGAAATGGCCACGATTCTGGAGTTAGGGATATTGCTCACTGGAAATGGTGTCTCTGGGGAGCATCCTTAAAGAGGGAAAAATAGACCAGGTGATGTCCTTGCCGACCTGTGCCATCCAGGGGGAGGTGTGGGTTTCTGGTGAGTCCTTCCTTTCCTGTGACAGTGGTGGAGCCTTGTGCCTCCTTCACTGGGGGCATCCCCCTCTCCAGCTTCTGGAGAGCACCCTCTTGGTCTTCACAGCCACGCACATCTTCTCATTGCAGTATGATGATGGCAGCGGTATGAAGCGAGAGGCCACTGCGGACGACCTCATCAAGGTTGTGGAGGAGCTAACTCGGATCCATTAGCCAAGGGCAGGGGGCCCCTTTTCTGACCCTCCCCAAAGGCTTCACCCTGCTGCCCTCCCCCTCTTTTCCACCATCATCTTCTCGGCCATGGGAGGCCTTTCCCTAAGTCAGCTGCCCCCAAAGCCACAGTTCCCCTACGTGGAAGTGGGGCAGACTTCATAGAGACCTGGAATGAGCTGAAGGTGAAACATTTTCTCCCTGGATTTTTACCAGTCTCACATAATTCCAGCCATCACCTTGGACCACCAAGCCTTCATTGGTGTTGACAGTTGTCCTCCTTCCAGGGAGGGATTTTGAAGTTCTTTGGCTGAAAGGAAGCTGTGTGTGTGTGTGTGTGTGTGTGTGTGTGTGTGTGTGTGTGTGTGTCTGTGTGTGTATGTGTGTGTGTGCGCGCGCGTGTGCGCATGTGTGTGTGTATCTCACACGCATTGTCCTCTGTCTTTTATTTAGATTGGCGTTGTAGGGAGTTGTGGGTAGTGGGGAAGAGGATTGGGAGGGTTTCATTGTTTATGAAGTGTGAGACCTTCCTTTTACTTTTCTTCTGTTTCCTCTGAGAGCATCAGCCCTAGAGGCCTGGCTGCCAGGTGTATAAAACCTGGAGATGGTGGATGATCCCCATGCCACAGCCCTTTTGTCTCTGCAGACTGCCTTCTTCGGAAAGAAGGAGGTGGGAGGATGTGAATTGTTAGTTTCTGAGTTTTACCAAATAAAGTAGAATCTAAGAAGAAAAGTATGTTTGATTTTGTTTTTAATTTCCCCTGCCCAGCTATCCAGCACTCCAGGTATACTATTCCTAATTTACTGTGAACTTAGGCAGTATCCTTCCCTTTATAGTAGGTGTTGCATTCACTTGCCCTTTCTGTTAAAACAACTCAAGTAGTGAAAGTGAAGATACCTATACCTCTTCTTGATCATGTGATTGTTTTTGATGGGATCCCAAGGATGATTGGCAGAATTTAGAAATCCACTGGTCTTTTTGGTTGCCCTTGACGCCATTTAATTCTTAGTTGCTTCTGCCAGTAACCTGCTGGGCCTGGGGGTTGCCTGGGCTGCCTTTCCTGGTTTTATAGCCAGCTCTGTGTGCAGTATCCAGTCACCTAGCCCCCAGGCCACCTAGTGCATCTCCCAGCTGCTTGTTGCCACATGCCCTCATTTCCTCTGATCTAATCAAGTGACTGATGGTTTTGGTTTGAGAATACAGCAGGAGTAGGGCACACACAGAGTTCACTCTTCTGTCTGGCAAGCAAAGCCTGTCTTTCAGCTTGGTGGGCCAGTGTCTGGGCTCACATTTCTCCTAGTGATCCAGTGGGAAGAAAGGCTGCTCTGTCCCCAGGGTGGAGTAGAGTTGATCCTAGGCATATTGGTGGCTCCTTTAAGACCAGCCTTTGATAGAGTGTCAGGAAAATTGTGGTTATAAGTTCAAATTGTGGTTTTGAGAGATTCTAGCTTAAAAAGAGCAAAGAAGCATCCCTGGTTTGAGGGCCTTCTGGAGGAGGTTTCCTTCCCTGAAGAATGTTTTATTACCCTTTTTTCCCACTTTACTCTTCTGAGAGGTCTGGGGGTGGAGGATGAGTCTTAAAAAATAATCAGCATCGACTGGGGCTCCAAGGGCATTCGCGGCAGGGGCCGGAGTGGACGGATGGGACCTGGTCAAGCTCCACAGCTTGTGCACGGCAGAGGAGGCAGTCATTGGAGTGAGTCCGCAACCAACAGAGTGGGAAGGGATGTTTGCAATATACCCATCTGACAAAGGGCTGATGTCCAGAATTTACAAAGAACTAAAGCAGATTTGCAAGAAAAAAGCCCATTCAAGGGTGGGCAAGGGATATGAACAGGCACTTTACAAAGGAAGACATACATGAAGCCAAGAAACATGAAAAAATGCTCATCATTGCTGGTCATTGGAGAAATGCAAATCAAAACTACATTGAGATACCATCTCACGCCAGTTAGAATGGCGATCATTAAAAAATCCGGAGACATCAGATGCTGGAGAGGATGTGGAGAAATAGGAACACTTACACTGTTGGTGGGAGTGTTAACTAGTTCAACCGTTGTGGCAGACAGTGTGGCGATTCCTCAAGGACCTAGAGATAGAAATTCCATTTGACCCAGCAGTCCCATTACTGGGTATATATCCAAAGGACTATAAATCGTTCTACTATAAGGACACATGCACGCGAATGTTCATTGCAGCACTGTTTATGATAGCAAAGACCTGGAACCAACCCAGAGGCCCATCGATAACAGACTGGACAGGGAAAGTGTGGCACATACACACCATGGGATATTATGCAGCCATCAAAAATGGTGAGTTCGTGTCCTTTATGGGGACATGGATGAACCTGGAGACCATCATTCTCAACAAACTGACACAAGAACAGAAAATGAAGTATAGCATGTTCTCATAGGCGCGTGTTGAACAGTGGGAACACATGGACACAGGGAGGGGAGCACTACTACACACTGGGGTCTGTTGGGAATAGGGGAGGGACAGCGGGGGGTGGGGAGTTGGGGAGGGATGGCATGGGGAGAGATGCCAGGTGTAGGTGAGGGGGAGGAGGGCGGCGAATCACACTGCCAAGTGTGTACCTATGCAACTATCTTGCATGTTCTTCACCCAAAACCTAAAATGCAATTTAAAAAATGCAAAAAAAAAAAAATTAGTATCTCAAAAACCACAGTTTGAACTGGAAACCCAAAACTGATTTGAATTCTAAAAGTCATGGTTTAAATTTGAAAAGACCTGCCCCCCTGCCAGAGGCCAGCTTTAATGAGTCAGACAAGCAACAGTCTCCAGATTGTGATTATTTAAGAAATTTAATCCTAGATGGGAGCACCAGCTATAAGATGTCATGATTAGAAAGACAGAATATGTTGGAATTCTCATTCTGGTGCCCTTCAGTGGTCTGTAGCGGCTGAGACCGCTGTTGAGACGAAGGTTATCAGTGACCTCAGTGTTGAATTTGGAAGCTTGTGGAGTCCTTGCTATCTTTCGCTGTTTTTTGTTTTGCACACTCTTGCATATATTCACTTGGGGTTGAATTCCAACTTTGGAAACTGATATTCTGTTGCCATATTCCCACATCCCCTCTTAAAAACCATTAATCACCTCTCTGGGGGTGAAAGCTTGTCTTTGGAGCGTGGCTTTAGCCAACTGGAACAGCTTGTAGGTGCTGATGAGCTAGCATCACTCCAGGTCTCTGTAGGAAGGGATCTTTGGGAGAATAATAGAAACACTGACTCATCACACGACCATTTAGGGGGATCACAAGCCAGAGGCTGTCATTCTGCAGCCAACAAGAATTTGGATCCTCTACCCTCGGTGGAGGGTCCCTTTTGTTACTGAGAAACCACAAGCCACAGAAGTGGGGAAGAAACACAGAAACTGCAATCAAAGGATATGCCCCAACTAGTCCTTGAAAAACATGAAGTTAGAGACTCCGTGTCCAAACTGAGAAGCCGCAGGGTCAAACAGAAAGGCAAGAAAAACAAAAATCGAACCAAACTAAAGGAGCGAATGTTGATAGGCGAAAGGTGAATGCCAAAAGGTCACAGAAATTGTATGGGGTAATCAAAGAAATGCCAAGGGCAGTGTAGACGTTGTTTGGAGATTCACTAATGGGAACTGGAATTTATGTACTAAGTATCCTGAATTCTGTTGGGTAGATACGGGATTTCTTCAAGCACAAAGTTGATCTCGGCTCTTCCAGCTGCTCATTGGCCAATAAAAAGCAAACTCTGCTGGAGAGTGAGTTTTATAGGGTAAGATGGAGCAGGTGGGCCTCCATAGTGTAGCCAGGAACAGAGGTAGCTGAGGTGTGCTGGAGTATGTGAGAAGATGGCATGAAATATGACAGCCATGTGGACACTCGTCCCTTGTACACCTGTTGAAAATTTTGGATAGCTTCCCTAGGGCCAGGAAGAAGGAGCACCTATTTGACATCGGTGGTTTAGTGGTGGTGGACGGGGAAAGTGCAACCTTCAGATGTTTGGGGCAAGAGAGAAATATGTCTTAGGATTCTGAGGGTCCTTGGGACTCAGAATGGATATGACAGAAGTCACGTTCATCTTATGTTACAGAATATTTTGGCAACCTGCTTGTTGAGAATATGTTGACTAGGAGGTGTTTACCACAAGAGCCGGGGCAAGGGTCTGAAGCCTCAGCATTAGAGATATAGTTACATAGTTATTCCTATATATAGAAAATCATAATCACATAGCTATTCATATGTAATCATAAATATATACATCTATATAATTATATGATCTTTAATCTTACTAATAAGTCTCAGGTTAAGAAGTATGGGACTGAAGTGGCATTGGAAAAGAGGTGACCCTAAGGCAAGATGCTCTAAGATGTCTGTCTCACCCACATAAGGGCTGCTGGAGGACACCTTGGCTTTGTGACAGTGTCAGCGCTCTGAAAGCGCCTGCTGTTTAGCCAGCTAGGGAAGGAAATGTCCAAGATGGCTGAGACGTCTCCTTCCTCAGGGGAGTGAGGAGAAAACTTCACTCTCCCAAGTGGAGCAAGCCTGATGGCTCTTGTGGTAAGCCTGACGGCTGTCAGGGAGACCCACAGACATCCGGGGACTTAATTGTCTCTATGCGATGCTGTGCTTCAGCGGTCACGTTCCATGTCTACTTTCAAGTTCTGCTTCTGCACCTGGTTCCCCTTTTTCTCAGAAGATAAGAATTAGTAATAGTAACACAAATCTTAGTGACCTTGTTCTTTCTTGACAAGTATGTGAAAAGTGCTGACGCCTTAGGTTTTCTCCTTGCCTTGGCTTCTTCAAACTCTTCAAACTCAAAATTACTCCAAGACATGTAATTTACTTGACCCTATCACTGGCCACCATTACCTCATCCTACCTACCATGCCCCCTGCTTTGAACTCAATAAAAGTCAGAGCGTCCAGGCACTCGGGGCCGCTGCTGGTCTCTGTGATTTGGTAGCAGTGGACCCCTGGGCCCAAACTCTCTTTTCTCTATCTCTGTGTTTTGTGTCTTTTATTTCCACAGTTTCTCATTTCCACACCTGCAGAGAAGGACTCCACGGGACCCTGCAGGGCTGGACCCTACAGAGTAGATTAAATAATGGGCCAAAACTAACAAGGTGAAATACGGCCTCAAGGTGAATGTCTGCCAAAATGTAGCCACACAGCTTCAGGTAGGGAGACCCGCTTGGCTGCTTGTGTTTAAATAACATAAAAGCACAACAAAAAATGCGTGCGGTTTTCCTTTACTGCGTGCTCAGTGTGTCATCATTAACAACATCATTAGGTTGACAAAAAGTAATATTAGAGTGCATTAGTGAAAGTACAGTGTTTACAGGAAGGAGGTGTGAGTCCAGGCCACCGCTGGCACGCCATGTCCATTTGTGGTCACCAATTTAAGCAGCTCAGTTACAGGCTGAGGAAGCAGGAGGTCAAAGGTAGTGGCAGAACCAAAGGAACTGGGATTGTTCAGCTGGGAAGTGAAGGCACTTTCAAACAAATGTGGTTCAAAACTGGATCAGACCACTTCTTAACAGGTAGTTTCTTACCCCTGGAAGTATTTATGCAAAATCTTGACTCATTGTGGGTGGCTAAGGGAAAGATTACTGCACAGAGCCGCAGGTAAAATCAGTTATCCTTTCAGTTTTCTCCGAGCGGGATCATTCTGATTCCCACGCGCCCCTTTACGCGCCCCTTCCTTGCCTAAATCCCTCCGCAGCCCCCCAGTCTGACTGCAGCCTGGGGCAGCTGTAAAAGGGGCAAAGAGGAGCCTTCCAGATCTGTTTCTGCCTCTCCACTGCCAAATGGCGCCAGCTGCTTCCTCGCTTCGCCACCAGCAGCCGGGAGGCCGGCCATCTGCCCCATGGGTGCCCAAAGGAGCCCGGGGCTTCAAGAGCAGCTAGTGCCCCTGGCCACGGAGGGACTGGACACACAGATCAACGCACTAGGACGTTAGGGTGCAGACCTGCTGGCAGGCCGGGGGCAGGCCTGGAACTGCCCAGCGGCGCAGCGACCCGGCGTCCTGGGTTCGGATTTCCACGGTTCCCACCTCGTGACAAGGCGGGTCCCACCGAGAGGGGCCATGCCCGGGGCGCGCAGCCTTTGGCGCTAGCCTTGTTCTCGAAATCTGTTTCCTCCTGGGGCCTCGGTCAGACGCCCTCAGTCAGCGCTTAGCAGGAAGCCGACTCCCAAACCCGGGCAGGGGGTGTGAGCCAAGCGCGAAACCCCGCCTCTAGGGGTCCCTGATCTTTGCCCCCGCCCGGGACTCCGTGCCTCTCGGAGAGGCACAGCGGGCGAGCGGCATTGCCTTTGTGTGTTTCGCCTCGAGGTGCCGGAGACCCTCCCCGCAGCCGTCCGCCGCGTCCCCTCGCGGCCCCCGGCCCCCTCCTCTCGGCGTCCTCAGCCCCCCTGCTTAGCTCCGCGTGCCAGTTCAGGGATCGTTGGTTAGCTCCCTGCGGCTCCAGGAGGAGGGGCGAGGGCCTGCAGCCCCCTCCCAGGTACACGGCGCCGGAGCCGAGCCCAGCCCGGGGGACCCGCCGCCACCGATGATGTGGGCCGGACTGCTCCTTCGGGCCGCCTGTGTCGCGCTCCTGCTGCCCGGGCCCCCGGCCCGAGGCTACACTGGGAGGAAGCCGCCCGGGCACTTCGCGGTCGAGAGGTAAGCGCCCCACGCTTTTCCTTCCCGCCGCCCTCGCCCCTCGGGAGCGCTACTGTTGTGCAGCTCAGAGGCGCGGAGGGGCGCCCAGGAGCCGCAGGCAGCTGCAGGTCCGGGCTTCCTCTGGGGTGCTATCCGAGCGGGGGCAGCTCTGGGACAGGCCAGAGAGACAGCAACTTGAGCCTTTCGGCGGGTGCCCATCGTGCGCACATGGCTGGGGCTGTCCAGGCTGCGACCTGGGGGAACGGAGGTCCAGGCGCTGGGTGACTCCTAATGTGCCCTGGAGCGCGGACCCCTGGAGAGGGGAGCCCCGGACGTGTCTTCTGGTCTCCGGACTGGCTGGCTCGCCCCCCAGCGTGCCCGCGACTCTGCCTGGGCAGCGCCAGGCCTCCACCGCCGCGCTGACCGCCCTAGGGGTGGGGGTTTTCCCTGGGCCCTGGCCCTACGAACGTCGTGGACTTTGGAACGGCTGGGGTCTCTGGGTCACCTTTCATTTTCTGTCCGTGCGTGCGCGCAGGTGGGGGTGGGGTGCAGGCCCCTGCGCTGTCTTTCGCGCTGGATGCCGCCCTCTGCACGTGCTTTCTCCCCTGCCGGTGCTGGGCGGTGCGCTTATGTGCACGATGCTCGCAGCAAGGGAACACCGTGTCAGCGGGCGGCCTGGCCCTCGGCCACGTCCTCCGGGGGCGCACAGTGGGGGCGGCTGGGCCAGGCTCGCAGCTCACACGTGTGTTCCACAGCCACCACCAGTTGCTGCTCGGATACGGCCCCGGCTCCGCAGCGTTCCTTCCATAGGGTCCCGCCACCTGTCTCTCGGTCACAACCAGCCCTAGGAGGCTCCTTGGGGCGCTCTGGCGGGTGCTCGGCCCTTGCCCACTTGAGAGTTTGACTCCACCAGCCTCCCTGGGCACCCTTTTATCTGCCGCCTTGGTGGCATTGCCTGTCCTTTTCTGAGAGTCTCAAGGCTCAGCTCATTCGCCCGGTTCCCTCCTTCTCGGACTGCTGCCATAATCACTCCAGCAAGGGGGTGGGTGAGACTTCGCTGCCAGCTCCCGCCAGCAGGAGGTCCCCCCTCTTCTGTGATGACCTCAGAGAGGGAAAAAGTCCCCAGGGACCGCTTTCCTCAGACGTTTCTGTGCTGCCATGGCGCCCTGAGCTTCCCTTTCCGGAATACTTGTCACATTTGGTACAGATTCTTCTCCCCAAGAACACGATAAGTTTGCCGTGTCCCATGTCCCCAGTGCCTGATGCGGTGCCCAGCGCAGAGTGGGTGCTCTACAAAGTGCCTGCCTGGCAGTCATCTTCCCTCAGCTCTGAACACAGGTGGACCACCCTTGGGAAGGGGTTTGTTGTCCCTTTTCTGTTGCAGTGAGGTTCGAAGCTCAAACCAGCCTGGATTTCATCACCCTCTGCCCAGTCCGGAGCTGGTTGCAGTAGTCCTCTCTGCCCCCTCCAGGCCTGCGGTTGTGCTGTTTCCCCTGCTAGAGCACCGTCTTCCTTCCTTTTCTTTTGCTGACTGACCTATTTTTTTTTTTTTTTTTTGAGATGGAATCTTACTCTGTCACCCAGGCTGGAGTGCAGTGGCACGATCTTGGTTCACTGCAGCCTCTGCCTTCTGGGTTCAAGCGATTCTCATGCCTCAGCCTCTTGAGAAGCTGGGACTATAGATAGGCATGTGCCACCACACCTGGCCATTTTATTTTTATTTTTTAGTGGAGACGGGCTTTTGCCATGTTGGACAGGCTGGTCTTAAATTCTTGACTTCAAGTGATCCACCTGCCTTGGCCTCCCAAAGTTTTCTCTCTCACCTCAGCCTAGATGCTGCTCCTCCAGGAAACCCCCTGACACTCCTCGGAGCGCCATAGCCCTTCCCGCTGTGGCACCTGTCACTCTATGCTGTTGTCAGCTGGCTCCTGGTCTGCCCTATGTTCCTTGAAGGTGGGGGCAGCAGCTTGTTTATAGCTGTACAGTCACGCCTCACTCACCACCCAGCACCAATTGGATGCATCTGGCTTCCCACCCTTTCTGGACCTCATTCTTGGTCGAACACACCCCCCACTACCTCCAGTCTTGGGCAGCTCACTGACGACCCCACACCCGCCCCTGATCTATCACCTATGCCAGTGCCCTTCTCAACTGCTCTCTCAGCAGCCATTTATTGAGCAACTACTATATGCCAGGCACAACTCTATGTGCTGGGGTGAATGGATAAGAAACCCTTGTCATCAGGGAGTTGTAGGGGAGACAATGAATTAATAAATTAAAAACTCATCTAATGTCCCAGGAAGTAAAAGTTGTAGAGAAGAATAAAGCAAGGTTAGGGTGGACAAGGAAGGCCTCTCTGAGAAGGTGCTGTGGGCAAAGACCTGGGTGAAGGGAGAAAGGGAGCCCAGTGTGTATCTGGGGAAGAATCTTTCTTTTTCCTTTTCCTTTTTTTTTTTTTTTCCCGAGACGGTTTGGCTCTGTCATCTAGGCTGGAATGCAGTGGCACCAACATGGCTCACTGCAACCTCTGTTTCCTGGGCTCAAGCCATCCTCCCACCTCAGCTTTCAGAGTAGCTGAGCCTGCAGGCATGTGAGTCACCATGCCCAGCTAGTCTTTGTGTTTTTTTGTTTACTCTTTTTTTTTTTTTAGACAGAGTGTCGCTCTGTCACCCAGGCTGGAGTGCAGTGGCAGGATCTCGGCTCACTGCAACCTCCACCTCCCAGGTCCAAGCAATTCTCCTGCCTTAGCCTCCTGAGTAGCTGGGATTACAGGCACACACCACCACGCCTGGCAGTAGAGACGGAGTTTCACCATGTTGGCCAGGTTGGTCTTGAACTCCTGACCTTGTGATTTGCCCGCCTTGACCTCCCAAAGTGTTGGAATTACAGGTGTGAGCCACCACGCCTGGCCTGTTTGTGGTTTTAGTAGAGACGAGGTTTCACCATGTTGCCCAGGCTGGTCTCAAACTCCTGGGCTCAAAGTGATTAGCCTGCCCTGGCTTCTCAAAGTGCTGGGATTATAGGCGTGAGCCACTATGCCTGGCCATAAGAACCTTTGTTATAGCAAGAACTGCAAGTGCAAAGGTCCTGAGGCAGCTACCCCTGGGGCTCCTCATCCATTGCTCAGCCTTTCTTCAGCTCTGAGGCCCCTCTTCTGGCCACTCTGCTGTGTGCTCGTGTGGCAGACAGTCTGTAGGAGGCCAGAATCTGTTATCTCATACTTTTGTGTGTGTCTTGCCTCCAGGAGAACTGTCTGGGTCATTTTTCTTTGGAAACTTCCCATTGTCCCTCCAGACAGTTCTCTAGGTCTGGTTGTTGATTGACTTACAGTCTGGCTGGGAGACTTTCCTGTTGAGCAATGTCTCCCCCAGTATAGAATGAGGAAAGTGCTCTCTCTTCTCTTGCAGACACCGGCTGGGCCCCCACGTCTGCCTCTCTGGGTTCGGGAGTGGCTGCTGCCCTGGCTGGGCGCCCTCTATGGGTAGTGGGCACTGCACCGTGCGTAAGTGCTTGTCCCTGTGCCCCAAGCCTTCTCCTCCAGCAGTGTGTGTTGCCAGTCCTCAGTGCCTGGTCCAAAGGGCAGACTGGGGGCCCCAGGCCCTCGTCTCTCACCTGCATTTCCCCTCTCAGCCCTCTGCTCCTTTGGCTGTGGGAGTGGCATCTGCATCGCTCCCAACGTCTGCTCCTGCCAGGATGGAGAGCAAGGGATCACCTGCCCAGGTAAGGGGATGGGCGGTGGCTGCTGGGAACAGATGAATTAGCATCGAGGTTGTGTGCTGGGCAGTAGGCATCTGAGACGTGTCCTGGCATCTCATCTTCAGACAACTCTTTTAGGTAGACATTGTATGCCTATTTTATAGATGAGGAAACTGAGGCACAGAAGTAATTGCCTTGCTCAGGGCCACACAGCTGGTAAATGGCAGAGCTGGATTTAAACCCAGGCCTGTTTGCCTTTAGAGCTACCCTCCCAACAGATTTCAGGAACAGGCTGGTGAGGTGGGGGTGGCTGGGACTGCACGGGGCGCATGCTCACTGCTGCGATGCCTGTTCTAGAAAGTCATGGACCGTGTGGGGAGTATGGCTGTGACCTTACCTGCAACCATGGCGGCTGTCAGGAGGTGGCCCGCGTGTGCCCCGTGGGCTTCTTGATGACAGAGACAGCTGTTGGTGTCAGGTGTACAGGTGAGATGCCTGGGAGTGGTGGGGAAGGGGGAGAGCGGGAATTATGTCTCCTCCCCCTCCTGCCAGGATGGTCTCCAGTGTATTGCAGGAGCCGAGCAGAGCTAAGATAGGCTCTGATGTTTGAGAGTGGGCAGAAAGACATGAAAACAAAAGCAATGTGTCAACTTCTGTTATTTCGCAAATATGTATTGAGCACCTCTTATGGGCAGGAACAGAGCTAAGGACTGGGGTAACGGGAGCCACAGTCGGCTTGTTAGGGAGGTTTTTTGATTTGTTTTTTTGAGATGGAGTTTCGCTCTTTTGCCCAGGCTAGAGTGAAGTGGCAGGATCTCGGCTCACTGCAACCTCCAACTCCTGGTTCCCAGTGATTTTCCTGCCTCAGCCTCTGGGATTATAGGCGCATGCCACCATACCTGACTAATTTTTTTATTTTCAGTAGAGATGGGCTTTTGCCATGGTGGCCAGGGTAGTCTTGAACTCCTGACTCAGGTAATCCACCCATCTCGGCCTCCCAAAGTGTTGGGATTACAGGCGTGAGCCACCTCATCCAGCCCCTGTTAGGGAGTTCTGAATATGAGGAAGGGTGACAAGTAACAGGACAAGAACAGCCCAATTGTCGTAGGGGCCTTAACTGGGAAGGGCAAGGTGCCAGCGCCCACAGAGGGGCAGGGTACCTGGAATCGGGAGGGTTGGCCATGGGAGGCTCCTTGGGAAAATGACATTTGAAAAATGTGGGAAGCTAAACTCAATAATTATTTTGTGAATGCATTGTGATTTTTTTTTTTTTTTTTTTTTTTTTTTTTTGAGGCAGAGTCTTGCTTAGTTGCCCAGGCTGGAGTGTAGTGGCACGATCTTGGCTGACTGCAACCCCTGCCTCCTGGGTGCAAGCGATTCTCCTGCCTCAGCCTCCTGAGTAGCTGGGACTACAGGTACGCGCCACTGCACCTGGCTAATTTTGGTATTTTTAGTAGAGAAGGGGTTCAGCATCTTGGCCAGGCTGATCTTGAAATCCTGACCTCATGATCCACCTGCCTCGGCCTCTCAAAATCTTGGAATTACAGGTGTGAGCCACCATGCCCGGCCTGTTTGTGGTTTTTTTAAAGGTTTCTACAGCCAAAATCTGTTACCTTCCCCAGGAGCAGCCAAGTGACCAGTTTCTTTCCTATCTTTCCACAGTGACAAAAGCCTTTTTGGAGTTTTAATTTTGTAAAAATAATATTCCTCCCCTGAATAGAAAAGCAAGAGATAGTTCACTGTAGAACATTTGAAAAGTAAGAGGAGAAAGATGAGAATAAACATTCTCTGGAAGTCCCCACCTGGAGATATTCGTTACCAAAATGAAGTTGTTTTCCTCCCCTTTTCCCTGGGTGTGTACATGTTTGTGAGTGTGTGTATGTCAGGCATGCATATACGTATGCTTTACAAAATTGGGATTATATCATATCTGCAGTTATTATTTTTCCCATCTAATTTTATATTGTAAACATTACTAACAATTCCTTGCAACATTTTGTTTTATTTTATTTTATTTTTCCCAGGCTCGGTGGCTCATGCCTGTAATCCCAGCACTTTGGGAGGCTGAGGTGGGTGGATTACTTTAGCTCATGAGTTTGAGACCAGCCTGGCCAACATGGCGAAACTCTGTCTCTACTAAAAATACAAAAACTAGCTCGTGTGACGGTGCATGCCTGTAATCCCAGCTACTCAGGAGGTTGAGGTAGAATTGCATGAACCCAGGAGCTGGAGGTTGCAGTGAGCCGAGATCATGCCACTGCACTCCAGCCTGGGGGACAGGGCAAGACTCTGTCTCAAACAAAACCGAAATTTTTTTTTAGCAGTTACATATGTGGCTGCTGTAATTGGAATAGCTCTTTGTCTGTTGTCCCTTATTTAAGAGGTCTGCAATGCTTCACCACTATAAATAATGCTGCCATAAAGAAAAGAGGCTTCCTGTCAGCGTCTCTGAGCATTTCCCAGAAGGATGCGGTTGAGTCGGAGGGTCTCGCTAAAGGTGTCTGGGAGCTCCTTGCTTGCTGCAGCACCTCCTCCAGAAAGGAGAAGCAATGGTCCTGAATGCCTTTCACCTTGGGATACTTTCTGCACGTACTTCTCATTGCAGAGGCAAACGGAACCAGGGAGAAGCCAGAGAACAGTGTCAAAGCACTTGCAGGACAGGGTGGCACGGACAGTAGCCACGAGACATCCCAGTGGAATGGAGTTAGTCAGGGTGGGCTTCCTAGCGGCATTGAGCATAGTCTTGACTGTCCAGCTGTTGGGAAGAGTGGGTAGATGCTGGGTAGAAGGCTAAGTAAGGGGATAAGGAGAGTAGAGGTGTCCCATGGGCTTGGGGGCCACAGTGGGGAGACTCACTACACAGTGAGTGCAGATTGGAGTAGACTGAGCTGCACCCAAAGGACCTCAGAAGCTGCCACGGATCTTTGGCGGAGAAGGGAGGCCAGGCAGCAGGATTTGGGGAGATGTCTCCCAGCTCCCGTCACCCCTCAGATCTCACTAGGCTCGCTTTCCTAAAGCGCTACTTGGATCCTGCTTGCATCCAGTCACTGCAACTTAGTTTCATCTTTTTTTTTGAGATGGAGTCTGCCACTGTTGCCCGGCTGGAGTGCAGTGGTGTGATCTTGGCTCACTGCAACCTCCGCCTTCCTGGTTCAAGCAATTCTCCTGCCTCAGCCTCCTGAGTAGCTGGGATTATTGGCATGTGCCACCACGCCCAGCTAATTTTTGTCTTTTTAGTAGAGGTGGGGTTTCACCATGTTGGCCAGAATGGTCTCGATCTCCTGACCTCGTGAACCACCTCACCCAGCCTTAGTCTCATCTTAATCCACATCTTCAGCCCTGTCTCCTGCTGCCTCGGAAGGAACCGAAGCTTCAGCCAGTCTGGGCCTTAGTATAGTCCCCAAGGAGCCCAGTCGCTGCCTGGAAGCACCTCAGACCCTTTCTCCACCTGGGAAGGCTCTCCGCTGATACTCCTGGTCCTCCTAGCCACTGCCTATTCCAGGCTGGTCTCAAACTCCTGACCTCAGGTGACCTGCCTGCCTCGGCCTCCTAAAATATTGGGATTACAGGCATGAGCCACCGTGCCTGATCTTTCTGTCCACTGCCCTCTGCCCTTTTGAGGGCCCTTTGGGGTTGCCCTGCCATCAGGCCATTGGAAACAGTTCTGTCTCCGCTGTCTTCTCTCATCATCTGGTCTTTATAGGTTAAAGGGGACCCCAGTCCCTTGGACTCTTCCTTCTTGGGGTTTCCTCACAGCCAGTGACCTTCCTGGTGCTGCTCTTCCTGGGGTGCAGGTGCGGATTCCACACTGCTGAGGGCAGTGTGTGGGCTTGGTGTGGGCTCAGGGTCCTCCTCGGGTTGATTTGTTCCTGAGTCACAGCCATGCTCAGAGCGGGTGGTGCAAGGGTGTTTTTTTTCTTTCTTTCTTTCTTTCTTTTTTTTTTGAGATGGAGTTTCACTCTTGTTGCCTAGGCTGGAGTCCAATGGCATGATCTGGGCTCACCACAAACTCTGCCTCCCAGGTTCAAGCGATTCTCCTCCCTCAGCCTCCCAAGTAGCTGGGATTACAGGCATGCACCACTACGCCCAGCTAATTTTGTATTTTTAGTAGAGATGGGGTTTCACCATGTTGGTCAGGCTGGACTTGAAGTCTCAACCTCAGGTGATCCGCCTGCCTCGGTCTCCCAAAGTCCTGGGATTGTAGGCGTGAGCCACCTCGCCCAACCTGCAAGGATGCTTTTTCTCCCAGACATTGATGAATGTGTAAGCTCCTCTTCAAGGACCACTGTGAGAACATGTGCTTTCTCTCTTTCCAGACATTGATGAATGTGTAAGCTCCTCTTGTGAGGGCTACTGTGTGAACACGGAAGGCGGGTATGTGTGTGAGTGTGGGCCTGGCATGCAGCTGTCTGCCGACCGCCACAGCTGCCAAGGTGAGCTGCAGAGAAGGGGCGGCTGCTCCGGGAGGGGTAATGGGGATGCCACATTGAACCCTTGGCCCTGCCATGACCAGCACAGTGCTCTGTGCGCCAGTGCAATGAACCTTCACCACCGTCTTCTGAAGGAGATGCTGTTATGGTTCCTGTTTGACTGATGTGGAGGCTGAGGTTTGCCCAAGGCCAAGTTGTTCGTATGAGGTGGAGTCACGTCTAATAACAGTTGGGACCGACTGTTGCTGGCCCAGCAGGGTGGCTCACATCTCTAATCCCTGCACTTTAGGAGGCCAAGGTGGGAGGATCACTTGAGGTCAGGAGTTCGAGACCAGCCTGGCCAACATGGTGAAACCTCATCTGTACTAAAAACACAAAAATTCGTCGGGTGTGGTGGTGGGTGCCTGTAGCCCCAGCATTTTTACTAAAATGCCTTTTATTTTTATTTTTTTATTAAAATGCCTTTTATTTACAGGAAGGAAACAATCTCGCAAGGCAGATAATTGTGAGCTCCCCCTGAATCCTACATTATTATTTTCTTTGTGTTTGAAATTTTCATAAATTATAAGAAAAATGTTAAAAGTCAAGGTGCTCGCCCTGGCCCTTTCTCCCAGTGCTGCCCTCTGCTCTCCCTGGAGAATAGCCCAGGCATCTTAGTCTGCTCGAGCTGCAATCACAAAATTCTGGGGGCTTGTACCACAGACGTTGATTCTCACAGCTCTGGAGGCTGCGAAGTCCAAGATTAAGGTGCCGGCTGATTCAGTTTCTGGTGACAGCTCTTCCTGGCTTGCGGAAGGCAGTCATCTTGCTGCCTCCTCAGTTGGTGGAGACAGAGCTCTCTGACATATATATTTTTTTCTTTGCATGGAGTCTCCCTGTGTTGCCCAGGCTGGAGTTTAGTGATGCGATTTCGGTTCGCTGCAACCTCCGCCTCCTGGGTTCAAGTGATTCTCCCACCCTCCCGAGTAGCTAAGGCTATAGGTGTGCGCCACCACACCCAGCTAATTTTTGTATTTTTAGTAGAGATGGGGTTTCACCATGTTAACCAGGCTGGTCTTGAACTCCTGACATCAAATGCTCTGCCTGCCTTGGCCTCCCTAAATGCTGGGATTACAGGTCTCTCATGTCTCTTCTTACAAGGGTACTGATCCCATCGAGAGGGCCCACCCTCATGACCTCATGTAACCCTAATTATCTTCCAAAGGCTCCACTGCCACACGCCCTTACATTGGTGGTTAAGGCTTCAACGCCCTTTTGGAGGGGGCAGAGTTTAGTCCACAGCACTGAGGTATTGGTGTGCTGTGCGCCCTGACTGCCTGTCCCCATGTGTACATACATACACAGTCGCTAACAGAGATATGATAGTTGCTGAACTCTCCATTCTTGAATCCTGGGTTAAGCACTTTACATGAATTTTCTACTTTAGCCTTCAAAATTACCTGGTGAAGCTGGTATTTATCTCGATTTTATTGATAGGAACGCTGAAACTTAAGAAAATTGTTACTTGCTTAAGATCACATTAGAACTAAGGTGTGTGTGTGTTTTTGTTTTTTTTTCCATAGAGATGGGTTCTTGTTGTATTGCCCAGGCTGGTCTCAAATTCCTGACCTTAAGCTATCCTTCCCCTTTTGCCTCCCAAAGGGCTGGGATTCCAGGAATGAGCCACCGTGCCCAGCCAGAGTGGGGATTTGAACCTCGCCATTCCTTTGCTTTCCTCCCCTCCCCCACCCCCTCCTGCCAATGCTGGTCTTGAAGATCTTTCCACATCAGGGTAAACAGACCTGCCTTGTTCCTTTTAACTGCTGACTCTGCAGTGCAAATATTTCACAGTTTACTAACTCTTCTCTTATTGATGAACAGGGAGATTATTTCCAGGTTTTCACAATTTCAAATAGCACTGGGGAACTTCTACAGAGGAGGTTCAACTGAAGCTGAGTTTTGAAGTATGAGTAGGAGTTTTCCAGCCAGATACGAGGGAAAGGCATTTCAGGCAGACAGAGAACATGGGCAAGGGGGAACACCAGAAGAGTGTGGTGCATTTGGTAGATGGCAAGAATTTAAGCCAGTGGCCAGGTGCAGTGGCTCACGCCTATAATCCCAGCGCTTTGGGAGGCCAAGGCAAGTGGATCCCCTGAGGTAAGGAGTTTGAGACCAACCTGACCAGCATGGTGAAACCCCATCTCTACTAAAAATATAAAATTAGCCAGGTGTGGTGGCACATGCCTGCAATCCCAGCTACTTGGGAGGCTGAGGCAGGAGAATTGCTTGAACCCAGGAGATGGAGGTTGCAGTGAGCTGAGATCGCGCCATTGTACTCCAGCCTGGGCAAAAAGAGAGAAATTCTGTCTCAAAAAACAACAACAAAAAAGAATTTAAGCCAAGTGAAGGTCAGGGGCAAGGAAGAGGGTGGGCAAAGCAACCAGGACTATGTTGGAAGGCGTTGTGAGCTACAGGGCAGCTTTGGTGTCTTACCCTAAGATGAGGTCTGTGGCTGTGGGAGCACTGGAGAGGTTTTGAGCAGGGAGCGCCCTGATTAGAAGTGTCCTTTGGTCAGAACATCCTGGAGGCTGTGCAGAGATGGCTTGAAGGAACCCAGGTAGAGATAGGGAGATACACCGGAGGCTGTGGCTGTTCTCCAGACTAGAGATGTATGTGACCAGACTAAGGGGTAGCAGTGAGGATGAGAGAAGTGGGCTGGCCCAGCGAGTATTTAGGAGTGCATGTGGGCAGTGCAGAAGAGAGTCAGCTAAGGTGGTTCCCAGCCCTGTGCGGGATAGGAGATGGAGATGAGGGAGGAAGAGGGGACCACATATTTCCAAACCTCTGTTGGGGAAATGAATCCCAGTCTTGTCCCTTTTCCCACCAGACACTGACGAATGCCTAGGGACTCCCTGTCAGCAAAGATGTAAAAACAGCATTGGCAGCTACAAGTGTTCCTGTCTAACAGGCTTCCACCTCCATGGCAACCAGCACTCCTGTGTAGGTAAGGCGGGAGGACCCTGTGGTCTGCACACTTCGACTGCCAATCAAGAAGATGGACAGGGAGCCCAGGGACCCAGGAAGGTTAACAATTGGACCTTCTGGTCCTCTGGAGCCTGAAAGGGCTTGAGCCTTTGCTCAGAGCCTGCCTGTCCCTGGGGTTGGCATAGCTCTGCATGAAGACCCTGTCTTGGACTTTTCCTGGCCATGTGCCACTATTATCCTGTTATGTTTCTCTTCCACTCCTCTCCCAGATACTCCCCAAGGATTCCTCTCTGCTCACCCATTTTTTTGGCTGCCTTTGCTCCCTTTGGTAAATAAAGCATGTTATGTCTTGGTTCCTCTGGTTTAGAAGGAGACCTCTGTTTTCTCAGCCCATTAGCAGAAATTTCCAGAAAGGGATTGGCATGTTTGGCTTGAGCTTGGCTCATGGGTTGAAGGTGGGGTCCCATGGGCCTGAAGAAAGATCTTGTTCTAGCAGAGTTAGGTATTTGTCCCGAAGCCTACCTTGAGTAGCTCAGTGAATTCTGAGGCTTTTCGGAAAGAAAAACGGGAGGGTGGAAGGTTTGGAGATCAGATTCTCAGCGAGGCTTACCCCCACCAGGCAGCAATTGATTACTGTTGCATAGTGCTGGGGCTGAGTCACTGATACTCACGTTCAATGCCTGCTGGATGTGTGAACCTATCAATGAGACTAGCACTAGATTTCAGCCCCGGTGTCTGAGTCACATCCTGCACCTTGGGGCAGAAACGGACCCCATAAGAACTATGGTAGGGAAACTCCCCAAGTCTTTTGAGCTAAGGGATGGGCTGAAGAAGGGCTCGGTAGCCCAAACAAAGCAGCTGTCACAGCGAGGCTCTCCCGCAGATGTAAACGAGTGTCGGAGGCCATTGGAGAGGCGAGTCTGTCACCATTCCTGCCACAACACCGTGGGCAGCTTCCGATGCACATGCCGACCTGGCTTCAGGCTCCGGGCTGACCGCGTGTCTTGTGAAGGTGAGCGCCAGGCCCCTCCTTCTCGACAGCTAGCCACGCCCTCTCAATGCCTGCCCCGCCCCATCAGAGCATGGCCCCGCCCCGTTCACGCCCTCCCGGCACCCAGCCACGCCCTATCGGCACGTGGCCCCGGCCCCGCCCACCTGCCACCCGGCCCCCTTCTTTTGTTTGCTCGTTTTCAGTTCATCTTGTTCATTTCCAACACTCCACTTTCTTCCTCACTTTCCTTTTCCACTTCATTATCGTTTTTTCCTCTTTCACTTTTTTCCCAGCCTTTCCCCCCCCCAAATGATAAAAGGAAAAAACCCAACGGGAGTCTGAGTAACCTGGACTGCAGGGACCGCTATTTCCGTGGTTTACCCTGTTGCACAGCGACAGTGTGCCTGTAAACAGTAGAATGTTGCACAGACCACGAGGGTGAACAGGGACTTGTGGTGGAGCTGAGCCCAGGTCTTCCTAAACCCCAGCTCTGCTGCCCACCCCAAGAGACCTCCGTGCTTCTGTTTCAGCTTTCCCGAAAGCCGTGCTGGCCTCATCTGTCATCCTGCAGCCCCAGCAACAGCCCCCCAAGATGCTCCTGTTGTTTCCAGAGGCTGCCCGGCCTGCCCTGTTCCCAGGACATACCCCTTCTTCGGGGGTTCCAGGGCCCCTAGCCGGAGTCAGGACCACCCGCCTGCCATCTCGCACCCCACTGCTACCCACATTCTCCCCTTCTGCCCCTTTGTGGCTGCTGTCCACTCTGATGGCCACCCCAGTGCCTACTGCTGCCTTGCTGGGGAACCTCAGGCCCCCCTCACTCTTTCAGGGGGAGGTGATGGGGACCTCTTCCTCACCCAGGGGCCCTGAGGCCCCCCGGCTGGCAGCAGGGCCCTCTCCTTGCTGGCACCTGGAAGCCATGCGTGAATCAGGGAGTCACTGGACAGAGCCTGGGTGTTCCCAGTGCTGGTGCGAGGTGGGTACTAGGGGTCCCTGGAACTTCCTTGGTTTGGAGTCTGGGGCCTTGTAGTGGCTGTAACTCCTGCTTGTGCTTCTAGGATGGGGAGGTGACCTGTGAAAAGGTGAAGTGTGAAGCTGCTTGTTCCCACCCAATTCCCTCCAAAGATGAGGGGTGCTGCCCATTGTGCACAGGTGAGAGCAGGTGCCAGCAAAGAACATAGTCCTGTCCCTTCTTTTCTCTGTGCTGTCCTGCAGCCAAAGGGCTGTTCTTTAACGTTAGCTTACATTAGAATCTCCTGGAGGGCTGACTGGGTGTGGTAGCTCAAGCCGGTAATCCCAGCACTTTGGGAGGCCGAGGCGGGTGGATCACCTGAGGTCTGGAGTGCGAGACCAGCCTGACCAATGTAGAGAAACCCCATCTCTACTAAAAATACAAAATTAGCTGGGCATGGTGGCACATGCCTCTAATCTCAGCTACTCAGGAGGCTGAGGCAAGAGAATCGCTTGAACCCTGGAGGCGGAGGTTGCAGTGAGCCATAGATCGCACCATTGCAGTCCAGCCTGGGCAACAAGAGTGAAACTCCGTCTCAAAAAAAAAAAAGAATCTCCTTGAGGGCTTACTAAGCCACAGTTCCCTTGGCACTGCCCCCAGAGCTTCAGATTCAGCAGGTCTCGGATAGGGCCAGAACGTGCATTTCCAGTAGGTTCCTAGGTGATACTGACATGGCTGGTCTAGGGACCACACTTTGAGAACCACTCATCTATGCTGTAATATCCATCAAGGGCAACTTTTCATTTTCTGGGCATCCATTTTCAGCTTCATTAATTTATTTATTCAGTCATTCAATGAGCCTCTTTAAATCCACCGTGCAGTCCCCTTCTCCTGCCCCAGTTTCGCTCTTACAGGTGGAGGAGTCGTTGTTTCTATTTTTTTGAGATGGAGTCTCACTGTCACCAGGCTAGAGTGCAGTGGCTCGATGTCGGCTCACTGCAACCTCCATCTCCTGGGTTCAAGCGATTCTCCTGCCTCAGCCTCCCAAGTAGCTGGGACTACAGGTGTGTGCCACCATGCCCAGCTAATTTTTGTACTTTTAGTAAAGACAGGGTTTCACCATGTTGGTCAGGATGGTCTCAATCTCTTGACCTCGTGATCTACCTGCCTCAGCCTCCCAAAGTGCTGGGATTACAGGCGTGAGCCATTGTGCCCAGCCCCATTCTTTCTAAATTCTGTCCCCTTTTTGACTCTTTCCTATCTGCTGACAGTTTTTCATTTGCTTCCTATTGCTGGAAGGATAGAGACCCAAATTCTTCACAGTTCCTGCCGGAGCTTCTCGAAACTTGCTCTGCACTTGAATCAAGGGGACTCATTAAAATGCAGATTCTTGGCTGGGCACGCTGGCTTAAGCCTGTAATCCCAGCCCTTTGGGAGAACGAGGTGGGTGGATCACTTGAGCCCAGGTGTTTGAGACTAGCTTGGCCAATATAGGGAGGCCCTGTGTCTACAAAAAATTAGCCAGGTATGGTGGCGTGTACTTGTAATCCCACCTGCCTGGGAGACTAAGGTGGGAGGATCACCTGAGCCCAGAAGGTCGAGGCTTCAGTGAGCCTTAATTGTGCCACTACACTCCAGCCTGGGCGACACAGTGAGACCCCGGCTCAAAAAAAAAAAAAAAAAAAGCAGATTCTCATTCAGTCGGTCTGGGAGGGGATTCTTTGTCTGGTGCTTTTGGTGATATGACACTGAGGTTGTTGGATATTGGCCAGCAGTTAAAAAGTCTTCCTAAGGGTTAAAATGGAAATGCACTGCTTTTTTTGTTTGTTTTTAATGTTTTTGTCGTTTTTGGTGGAGTCTTGCTCTGTCACCCAGGCTGGAGTGCAGTGGTGTGATCTCAGCTCACTGCAACCTCTGCCTCCTGGGTTCAAGCAATCCTCCCTCGTAGCTGGGATTATAGGCACCTGCCACCACACCTGGCTACTTTTTTTTTTTTTTTTTTTTTTTTTTTTTTTTTTTTTTTAGTAATGGGGTTTCGCCATGTTGGCCAGTCTGGTCTCGAACTTCTGACCTCAAGTAATCCACCCTCCTCAGCTTCCCAAAGTGCTGGGATTATAGGCGTGAGCCGCCGTGCCTGGCCTGATTTTCTTAATGACTACTGTGGGCTATGTTCCTGCTACATGCTGAGTCCTGAGTGCAAAGAATTGAGGACTTTATTGCTGAGGTTTTGGATTCTTCCAAGTTCCCTGCAGGGTACATGATGGTGTTTCCATTTTGCAGTGAAGATGACTGCGTACCAGAGAGGTGAAGTGACATGTCCAGGGCCACTCTGGTAAACTGAGCTGGCAGGCCAGGTTTTGAGCCCTTTCCTGCCCTCTGGGAGTAAAACGCTGTGCCCTCCAGACAGCTGTGGGTTTGTGAGACGAATGGATCCTCCCGGGGCCACCACGGCTGATTCTTGCAGGACCACACAGTCAGAGTACCCCGAATCTGCCCCTCCTGGCGCACCTAGGGCAGTGAGAAAACGTTCCAGGTACATCAAGCCTGGAGAAGCAGTGAGACCTCAAGCTTCCTCTCCTTTGAAGAGGTCTGATGCCTCTACCTCCTATTTGTCTTTCAAAGGCTGTTTTCACAGAGGTGTCATCCGAGCTGAAGGGGATGTGTTTTCACCTCCCAATGAGAACTGCACCGTGTGTGTCTGTCTGGTAAGCCTCACAAGATCCTCAAAGCCTCATGGGTGTTTTCTTAACCTTTGGGGGTTTTAGAGGCAGCAGAAAAGATCAGATGTTAAAGGTAAGCTTGCTGAGTGGAAGGGAACGTTTTCAGGTTGTGGAATTTGGTCAGAAGCTGTAGAATGTAAAAGGGGGAAGGAATTATACCACACGAGGTTGGTGGAGTCAGGGAGGCTTCTGCTCTGCAGAAGGCAGTCGGCCGGCACACAGAGTCTGTCTGTGTAGGAAGGGGAGGGGATGAAACTCCTCGGCAACTTCCCATCAGGGAGGCTGTTTTTCTCTCCAGGCAAAATATTCGCCAGCACAATAAAAGTCTCCACATTTGAGAGGAAGAAGGCTCATTACCAAACTCAGCTTGTTAAAAGTGTTTGACTTTGGGGAAATTCACTCTTCCAAGACTAGTTATGAAGCACCTACTGTGTGCCTGCCCTGCCAGATGCTGTCCCATGTATTTGATTGGGAACTCGTATTGAGCGCCAGGCCCAGAGGTTGGTGCTTTTCATCTCTTTCCTCGAGCGCCGAGGCTCCCAGCAGCTCCCTGGGGTCAACTTGGCTGCCCCTATTTTGCAGATTAAAAGACAGAGCCTGGGAGGTGGCAGAGCTGGGATTTGAGGTCTGTCTGAGCCCAAAGTCAGGGCTCTGTCCACCAGCCCTCACTGCTATCCTCTGACCATCTTTATTTTTTATTTTAGAGACAGGGTGTTGCTCTATAGCCCAGGGTGGAGTACAGTGGTGCAATTATAGCTCACTGTAGCCTCGAATTCTCGGGCTCAAGCAATCCTCCCACCTCAGTCCCCCAAGTAGCTGAGACCACAGGCGCATGACATTACACCCAGCTAATGTTTGTATTTTATTATTATTTTTTGAGACAGAGTCTCACTCAGTCACCAGGCACCAGGCTGGAGTGCAGCGGCGTGGCTTTGGCTCACTGCAACCTCCGCCTCCCGGGTTCAAACAATTCTCCTGCCTCAGCCTCCCGAGTAGCTGGGACTACAGGCACATGCCACCATGCCCAGCTAAATTTTTTGTATTTTTAGTAGAGACTGGGTTCCACCATGTTGGCCAGGATGGTCTTGATCTCTTGACCTCATGATCCACCCGCCTCGGCCTCCCAAAGTGCTGAGATTACAGGCGTGAGCCACCGCGCCCGGCCTTATTTTTTTTTAAGAGATAGGGTCTCACTGTGTTGCTCAGGCTGATCTCAAATTCCTGGGCTCAAGTGATCCTTCCACCCTGGCCTCCCAAAATGCTGGGATTACAGGAATGAGCCACTGCACCTAATCATGACCATCTTTAAATGTCTCTTGCTCTGGCATCAAAGGTGGAAGCTGCAGTGTGAAATCAGGGCATGCACACAGCCACCAGCACCCTTTACTGAACTCTTCCTATGTGCCACATGAAAGCACAGCAGCCAGATTCCCTCCCTCCCTCCTTTCTTTCTCTCCTTTTTCCTTTTCCTTTCCTTTTCCTATCCTTCTCTCTCTCTCCCCTCCCTCCCTTCCTTCCTTTCTTCCTTCTTTCCTTCCTTCCTTTCTTCCTTCTTTCCTTCCTTCCTATTTCCCTCCCTCCCTCCTTCCCTCTCCCTCTCTCCTTCCCTCTTTTCCTCCCTCCCTCTATCCCTCCAGCATCCCTCCTTCCTTCCGTTTTTTCCCCCTCTTTTCTCCCTCCTGTCCCCTTTCCTCCCCCACCCCTGACTGAGTAGCAATCTTCCCACCTCAGCCACCCAAGTAGCTGGAATGAAAGACATGTGCCACCACCCTAGCTAATCTTTTTTGTAGAGATGGGGTCTCACTATGTTTCCCAGGCTGGTCTCAAACTCCTGGGCTCAAGCAATTCTCTTGCCTCAGCCTCTCAAAGTGCTGGGATTACAGGTGTGCACCACCACACACAGCCCCATGTGCTTTCATGAATGATCTCATTGCATGTGATCCTTGGCAACCCTGAGAGATTCGCCAGCTCCAGCCTATTTCTTAGATGGGGAGACTGGGGCTCAGAGATGTGATGTACTTGGCTGAAAGTCTTGATAGGGAGGAGCAGATGCTGGAGCTCAGGTCTGGCTGACTCCAGAACTGGGGGCTCTTTGGTCTCAATATCAAATTTAAAACATTTATTTTGAAATTTAATTCTTTGGCTAGCCAACATGAGCCACCTGATTCAAAACTCAGATGCATGGGAAAGCGCATGGGGGTCTCCTTCCCAGGAGTCAGCTCTGTTCTCTGCTCCCCAGCACCTTCCAGAGCTCCCAGGCACATTTGCATAAGGAAGGGAGCACGCTCTGTTTGCTGGGCTGCCCTGGCCTTTTTCCTGGAGCGGTGTCTTAGGCACCTGAGGTGTTCTAGCCACACCATACGTATTAGTCCATTTTCACACTGTGTGAGAATAAAGACATACCTGAGACTGGGTAATTTACAAAGCAAAAGAAGTTTAATGAACTCACAGTTCCACGTGGCTGGGGAGGCCTCACAATCATAGTGGAAGGTGAAAGGTACGTCTTACATGGCAGCAGGCAAGAGAGAATGAGAGCCAAGTGAAAGCGGAAACTCCTTATAAAACCATCAGGCATCCTGAGACTTCTTTCCTACCACGAGAACAGTGTGGGGAAAACTGCTCCCATGATTCAATTCAATTCGTGAGAATTATGGGAGCTACAATTCACGATGAGATTTGTGTGGGGACACAGTGAAACCATAGCAGCATCATAAACACCAGAAATGTGTCCCTGTGACACGGCCGCATTTAAAGGTTTCAGATGGCCTCTGTTAGTCAGCGTTCCTGTTTGCGGGGCCTGCTGTGAGATGGGGAGTGAGCCCTGTTCCACCCCTGCGCCCCCAGTGCCATCTCTTGCCTCCTCAGGCTGGAAACGTGTCCTGCATCTCTCCCGAGTGTCCCCCTGGCCCCTGTCAGACCTCCCCACAGTTGGATTGCTGTACTTGTGTTCCAGGTAAGTGACGCTCTTGGAGCATTTGGCTTTTTTTTTTTGCAAATTTTTGTAGACCTTGAACTCCTGGCCTCAGGTGCTCCTCCTGCCTTACCCTTTCAAAGTGCTGGGATGACGGGCGTGAGCCCCTGAGCCCAGTTTTGCCCTTTGCTTCTTTTTGTTTTCTTTTTTGAGAGGGAGTCTCGCTCTCTCACCCAGGGGCTGGAGTGTAATGACATGATCTCAGCTCACTGCAACCTCCACCTCCCAGGTTCAAGTGATTCTCCTGCTTCAGCCTCCGGCGTAGTGAGTAGCTGGGATTACAGGTGCCTGCTGCCATCCCCAGCTAATTTTTGTGTTTTTAGCGGAGACAGGGTTTCACGATGTTGGGCAGGCTGATCTGGAACTCCTGACCTCAGGTGATCCACCTGTAGTGGCCTCCCAAAGTGCTGGGATGACAGGCACGAGCCCCCAAGCCCAATTTTACATTTTGCTTCTTGTGAGCACAGAGGAGGATTTCTTTGGGGTATGCAATTGGGCGGGGTGAGTGGAGGAGTGAGGGAGGAGCTGGGTTTCTGCTTTACAAACTCAGATCAAGTGAAGCCTTTCAAATTGCCTGTTTTTATTGAGCACTTCTTATGTGCACAGCAGTTTGGTGCTAGACTGTTCTCACAACCCAGCTTTCCCCTGACTTAGGAGGCACCTTCAACTCAGGCAGGACAAGGTTTCAGTCCACGCTTGTCGTTGCTCTGTCCCAGGGCAGGGAAGGGCCTCGCCTTAACCACTAAAGTCCTTTGTTATAAACAAGGTTTTCTTTCCTGGGATGGCCTCATCACTGTCATGGATGTTCCCTGCTGACCCTGTGCCCCTTGCTGTGTGGGGTACTTGCCAGAACTCCAGCTCATGGAATCCTTATGTCCCCACTTTAAGGCAGTACTTTTTGTTGCCCCATTTTATAGATGGGAAAACTGAGGCTTGGAAAGTTCAAGTCACTGCCTAGAGACACACAGCCATTAAGTAATGGAGCAGAACTGGAATTCAAGTCTGACTTCAAGGCTGGTGTTCAAGTTTTTTTTCTTAATGTTTAGGTGCTATATTATTTTTAATTGAATTATTTTTGCATAGTCAATGTAGTCTCTATGAGGTAGGAACCCTTGTCAGCCCCTTTGTACAGATGAGAAAACCAAGGCTTAGAGAGCTTTAAGTGTCTTGCCCAAAGCCCTTCCCTGGTGAGTTCCGTAGCGAGGATCTGAGCCCAGGGCAGTCTAACTAATGGCAGATGGGCCTGGCGGCCTCATTTGTCTAGGGTGGCACCGTTGTCTTAGGTGTCCGGGATAGTCTCTTTTTATTTTCTTTTATTCTTTTACTCTTTTGTTATTTAGGGCTTCCCCTGCCTCTTTGATTAAGGACCTCTTCTTACATGTAATTCATTCTTTGTCAGATTTTTTTGCTGTTGTTGAGATGCGCCCTTGCTCTGTCGCCCAGGCTGGAGTACAGTGGTGCAATCACCATACCCTCAAGCCCTGCTTTCAAGCCATCCTCCTGCCTCAGCCTCCTGATCAGCTAGGACTGCAGGCACACACTACTGCACTCAGCTCATTTTTTAAAGTTTTTGTAGAGATGAGGGCCTCGCTGTGTTGACTAGACTGGTCTCGAACTCCTGGGTGCAAGAGGTCGTCGCACCTCGTCCTCCCAGAGTGTCGGGGTTATAGGCGTGAACCCCAACCCAACCCTTTGTCGGCCCGACTTGTTTTGTGTCTGGGGTTTGGAGAGGGAGAAGTGCTTTGGGTTCCCGGGCATGGAGCAAGATGTGGAGTGTCAGGGGTGGGTATTAGGTGCCCCAGGGCTCCCCAGCCATTTGTTCCCCCTTTTCTTTAGTTGACCCTGCTCAACAACCTTGAGCTGCTTCTCCCTTTCTCCTCTGCAGTGAGATGCTATTTCCATGGCCGGTGGTACGAGGATGGGGCCGTGTTCAGTGGGGGTGGTGACGAGTGTACCACCTGTGTCTGCCAGGTATGGTGGCCGAGCGTCCCAAAGCCTGTGGAACTGATGGGGAGGGGAGGGAGACACAACACTTTACTCAGGTTGACTTGACTAGGAGAAGATGAGCTGCCACACAGCAACAGGGAAACTAAGGCAGCAAAGGCACTACAGGGATCCCCCAGGTCTTCCCACAGTCTCTTTGAAGTTCATCTTTCAGCACCACTATTTACAGAGCACCTACTGTGTGCTGGGGACACAACTAAGCACAAGGAAGCCCCAGTTCCCTTGGTCTGGAAGCTCAGCCTAGGTGGGTGATGGCCAGGTACCCAGGGCTCCTGATGCCTTTTTGGAAGGTGGGATGTTATGTAGAGACCTGGAGGGTGGCGGGGACTCATCAGGCGTGGAGCTGAGGTTGCTGTGCCCAGCAGAGGGTGGAGAACTGGAGATGGCCATTCTGGCTGGAGCACGGAGAGAGTCAGGCAGGCTGCAGGTAGGGGTTGCATCTTGGCTTGTGTTGCCTAGAAGCAGGGCCCAAGCAGGGGACCTTCCAAAGGAGTGCTCTCAGGAGGAACCAGTGACGGAAGCAGGATGGGGCCGGATAGGAAGCAGGGTGAAGGTGTGGCCTCACCCTGATCCTTGGGGAGCTCTGGACGGTGGACGGTGCACCCCAGTGCCAGTCAGTTATATAGAGACTCTGCTCCTCAGGGAGTGGGCACGGTGACCATCCAGGCATCTCTGGAGGATGCAGCTGCCATCAGCCACGGGCAGTACTTCGGGGATGCGACCTGGGTGGGCACTGATAGCCTCTGCCCGAACTCAGTCCTGAGGGCTCCGCCAGTTGTGCTTGAGGCCTTTGCATTCAGCGAAGCTGCCGAATGGTGTTATGCCTGGAGGGGTGCAATCAGATTGTGCTGGAGAAGGTTCTCTGGCTGTGAAGCAAGAGTTGATTGGAGGAGCCAGAGTGAAGACAGTAGGGAACCTGGATGGAAGCAGGAGGGTGAGAGATGGTGGAGGCCGTGCCCATTCCCAGGATGCCCTGCTCACATGCAGCCCCTACTGAAGGACTCCCGGTTCCCTCCACTTCCCTGTTGTGCTCTCTGGAGACCTGTCAGTTTCACTTGAGTGGAGGGGAGGGTGATGGCAGCCTGCCAGCCTCCTCTAGCCCTCCATGGCCCCGGGCCAGGGCGCTGCCCTCAGCATTCTGTGCCTTGGCTCTCTTTCAGAATGGGGAGGTCGAGTGCTCCTTCATGCCTTGCCCTAAGCTGGCCTGCCCCCGAGAAGAGTGGCGGCTGGGCCCTGGCCAGTGCTGCTTCACCTGCCAGGAGCCCACGCCCGCAACAGGTGAGCTGGCCCTGGGCTGCCCCCACACGGTGTGGATGCTGGTGAGGGAGCTGAGCCTCACCTGCTGAGACTGCTGGTGTGTGTTGTCTGTGTGTGTGTACATGTGTCTTTCTGTACTTGTGTATGAGTGTGTGTGTTTTGTGTAGTGTGTCTGAGTGTGTGCCTGTGTGTGTAAGTTTGTGTGTCTCTGAGTTTGTGCGTGTTTATCTGTGTGTGTCGGTGTGTTAGTGGTACCTGCGTGTGGGAGTCTGTGTATGTGTGTCTTTGTGTTTGTGTATATGAGTGTGTGTTTTGTGTAGTATGTCTATGTGTCTCTGTGAGTAGTGTGTGTGTGTCTATGTGTCTGCATTTTTGTGTGTGCCTATGTAAGCATGCATGTTTATGTCTGCTTTGTCTGCATATGTGTGTGTGCATGTAAGTGTATGTCTGAGTGTGCCTGAGTGTAAGTTTGTGGGTCTCTGTGTGTGTATGTGTCTGTGTGAGTGTATATGTGTATGTGTGAATTTGTATGAATGTAAGTTTGTGTGTGTACCTGTGTCTTTGCCTGTGTGCAAGTGTTTGTGTTTTTGTGTGGTATGTCTATGTGTCTCTCTTTGGGGGGTGTGTCTATGTGTGTCTGTGTGTCAGTGTTTTTGTGTGTGCCTGTGTGAACATTCATGATTATGTCTGTTGTGTCTGCATATGTGTGTGTTTGTGTGTGCATGTAAGTATATGTTTGTATGAGTGTGTCTGCATAAATGTGTGTGTGTCTGTGTGTGAGTAGTATGTGTGTGAGCATGTATGTGTGCATTTGTATGAATGTGTGTAAGTCTGTGTATATACATGTGTCTGCCTGTGTACAGGTGTGTGTCTGTGTTTTGTGTAGTGTGTGTTTGGGTGTTTCTATGTTTGTGAGTAGTTATCTATGTGTGTCAGTGTGTTAGTGGTATCTGTGTGTGGGAGTCTGTGTACATGAGTCTTTGTGTTTGTGTATGAGCATGTGTCTGTTTTGTGTAATATGTCTGAGTGTGTCTCTGTGGTGTGTATGTTTGTGTGTATGTGTCTGTGTTTTTGTGTGTGCCTGTGTGAGCATGCATGTTGGTGTCTGTTGTGTCTGTATATGTGTGTCTAAGTATATGATTCTATGAGTGTGTCTGTGTGTGCATAAGTTTATGTGTGTCTCTGTCTCTGAGTAATATGTGTGTGTGTCTGTGTGAGCATGCATATGTAAGTGCATTTGTATGAGTGTGCGTGTGTTTCTGTGTAGGAATAGTATCTGTGTGGGTGTATAAGTATGCATTTGCATGAGTGTATGTGTTTCTCTGTGTGAATTGTGCCTGTGTGTGTATGTAAACATGCATTTGTATGACTGTGTGTGTGTGTCTGTATGAATGGTGTGTGATCATGTGTATGTGTATGTAAGTGCATTAGTATGAGTGTATGTGTGTGTGAATTGTATCTGTGTGTGTATGTAAATGTGCATTTGTATGAGTGTGTGTGTTTCTGTGTGTGCGTAAATGGTATCTGGGCATGTGTATGTAGGTGTGCAGTTGTATGAGTGTATGTTCGTGTGTCTCTGTGAGTTGTATCTGTGTGTGTGTATTTGTTCATTTGTATGAGTGTGTGTAAGTTTGCATGTCTGTTTAAGTTATATCCGTGTCTGTGCGTGACCGTGCACGTGAGGCATCTGTCCTTGCTGCTGTTGTAGTCTGGGTCTTGTGCCCACTGTCTCTTCTCTGCCACTGTCCTCGTCCAGGCTGCTCTCTCGATGACAACGGGGTTGAGTTTCCGATTGGACAGATCTGGTCACCTGGTGACCCCTGTGAGTTATGCATCTGCCAGGTGAATGACAACCTGCTCGCCTTCAGCTGCTTTACCCGGCTGCCCTGCCTCACCCAGAGGAGTCAAGCGTCCTGGCCTCAGGCTCCCTCCGGTGCCGTCAAGTTCCACTGTCACAGAAAGGGTTGGACCCAGTTTATCCTGTCCTCACTAGAGGTGTGAGGACGACGGAGCTTGGCAATTGGCCTTAAGAAGTGTGTATAGGGCCGGGTGCGTTGGCCCACACCTATAATCCCAACACCTTGGGAGGCCGAGGAGGGCAGATCATGAGGTCAGGAGTTCAAGACCAGCCTGACTAATGTGGTGAAACCCCATCTCTACTAAAAATACAAAAATTAGCCAGGCATGGTTGTGGATGCCTGTAATTCCAGCTACTCAGGAGGCTGAGGCAGGAGAATCGCTTGAACTCAGGAGGCAGAGGTTGCACTGAGCTGAGATCGTGCCACTGCACTCCAGCCTAGGTAACAGAGCCAGACTCCGTCTCAAAAAAAAAAAAAAAAAAGAAAGAAAGAAAGAAAAAGAAAGTGTGTATGGCCAAGCGCGTGATGATGGCTTATGCCTATAACCCCAACACTTTGGGAGGCTGAGGTGAGGGGATTGCTTGAGCCCAGGAATTTGAGACCATCCTGGGCTGTATCCTGAACACATCCTGGGCAACAAAGTGAGACTCTCTCTCTACAAAAAAAAAAAAAAGTACAAAAATTAGCTACATGTAGTTGCATGCCGCTATGGTCCCAGCTACTTGGAAGGCTGAGGTGGGAGAATTGCTTGAGCCCAGGAGGCTGCAGTAAGCTGTGATCACATCACTGCACTCCAGCCTGGGCCACAGAGCAAGACCCTGTTTAAAAAAAAAAAAATGTGTGTAACAAAGTGCGTGTGCAGAGAGCTGCTGGCGTTAGGAGGAAGAATTAGGAATCTTAGGAATCATCATGGAAGGTCCCCCCCCCATGAATAACTGAGGGAGTGGGGCAGCCCGAGACCCAGTCGTTCACTCTGTTTCTGTGAAATTGCAACATTGTCTTCATGACTGAATCATATGACCTCACTGTTTTAGAAATGGATAAGGAGGTGCATGAGTTTGAGAGTCAGATTGACAACAATGCAAACGCAGCTATCCACCCAGAAAAACAATTGTTTTAGCTCATTATTTAAGTATTAGTAATTGCGATTTTTGCCATTACTTATTTATTATTTATAATGGCAAAAACTGTAATTACTTTTGCACCAATGTAATACATGCTGACTTTCCTTTCTACTTTAAAAGCTTTGAGTCTTTTAGAGGTTTATTTCTCATAATGAGGTCCCTTGCACCTGCGTTGGGAGCCCTGGTTGGGCCTGGGCCTGCCCACATCTCTGCTTTCACAAACTGCATTTTAACCTCCAGGTGATTTGTGTGCGCTTTCCTGGGGGAGGAGCACAGCCTTCTAGTGCCTTTGATGAGCCGTTTGTTAAAAAGCTGTATGCTGGCTGGGCGTGGTGGCTTATGCCTGTAATCCAAGCACTTTGGAGGCCAAGGTGGGCGGATCATCTGAGGTTGGGAGTTCAAGACCAACCTGACCAACATGGTGAACCCCCATCTTAAAAAAAAAAAAGCTTTATGCTGAACACGCCTCATCGGAATTAGCGTTGGAGGAAAGTCTGTTCTGTGCTGTCTTCTCCTTTATGACTGATTCAGGCACTCGTGATATTAAGAGAGTGATACAAAAGCTTCAAACTGTCAGATTTTTTTTTTTTTTTTTTTAAGAAAAAGAGGCCAGGTGAGTGACTCACCAGTAATCCCAGCACTTTGGGAGGCTGAAGCGGGTGGATCATCCGAGGTCAGGAGTTCAAGACCAGCCTGACCAACATGGTGAAACCCCATCTCTGCTAAAAATACAAAGATTAGCTGGGCATATGGCGCATGCCTGTAATCCCAGCCACTTGGGAGGCTGAGGCAGGAGAATCACTTGAACCTGGGAGGTGGAGGTGGCAGTAAGCCAAGATTGTAAGATTGTGCCATTGCACTTCAGCCTGGGCAATAGAGTGAGACTCTGTCTCAAAAAAAGAAAGAAAGAAAGAAAAAGAAAAGAAACCTTATATGGCACTTTGGCTCTCTGAAACAGACATTTCTGGTGGCATGGCTTTTTTCTAAAAATAGGGTTTTATGGTACTCTGCAGGTTGGTTCCTGGTGAGCCAGGGTTCCAGGGAAAAGCTGAGAAAGGATTTGGATGAGGGTGACGGTGCAGGCTTTGGCTGTTGCAGGAGAGGGAGAGGAAGCGAGGAGACTAGAATCCCAGCTCTGACCTTCTTAAAGATGCAGAGCCTTCCTGGAAGGCCCACATGGCCTTTCCCAGGTAGCCGGTCCTCTTGTGGGGGGCACGCCCCCTCCCATCGGCATCACGGTGCTTTCAGGGCAAGCCCTGGCCGGGTTGCAGCATTGCCATTTCTTTTGCAGGGCTGGGAGGCAGGGGCTGGTGTCACCAGTGGGGTCTTGGTGAAGTTCCTCCTTCCTCCAGGCTGATGGCTCGGTGAGCTGCAAGAGGACAGACTGTGTGGACTCCTGCCCTCACCCAATCCGGATCCCTGGACAGTGCTGCCCGGACTGCTCAGCAGGTAACCCCCTGCCTCCGCCCCCCAGCCCCCAGGACAGGGATTCTCAGCAGGTACCACCTCCAGGTTCACCCTGCACCGGGCTCCTCTGCACTAAGCCCCATACGAGCTTCATCTCATGTCCTCCTAACAAGTCCAAGGGACAACCCCATTGCACAGATAAGGAACCTGAGGCGGAACAGTTTGCCCAAGTCAGGGCCCCTCTGAGTGCTCGAGGCAGCTATGAAGATGCGCAGGGCTTACAGTGCAGGTGGGAGGTACAGGAGTGGTACCTGTGAGACAACGGGAAAACAGCAAGAGGAAAAAAGTTTTAATAGTCATTTTTTGCCTTTTCTATGATTTCAAAAGTAATGCTTTATTACAGAAAAAAAAATATTTTTGAGACCCGGTCTTGCTCTGTCGCCAGGCTGGAGTGCAATCGCGTGATCTCGGCTTACCGCAACCTCCGCCTCCCGGGTTCAAGCAATTCTCCTGCCTCAGCCTCCCAAGTAGCTGGGATTACAGGCGCACACGACCATGCCCAGCTAACTTTTGTATTTTTTAGTAGAGATGGGATTTCACCATGTTGTCCAGGATGGTCTCAATCTCTTGACCTCATGATCTGCTCTCCTTGGCCTCCCAAAGTTCTGGGATTACAGGCGTGAGCCACCGTGTCCAGCCAGAAAATTTTTTATTTGTTTATTTTTGTTGAGACAGAATCTTGCTCTGTCGCCCAGGCTGGTATGCAGTGGTGGGATCTCAGCTCACTGCAACCTCCACCTCCCGGGTTCAGGCGATTCTCCTGCCTCAGCCTCCTGAGTAGCTGGGACCACAGGTATGCGCCACCACGCCTGGCTGATTTTTGTATTTTTAGTAGAGACGGGGTTTCATCATATTGGCCATGCTGGTCTCACACTCCTGACCTCAGGTGATCTGCCCACCTTGGCCTCCCAAAGTGCTGGGATTATAGGTGTGAGCCACTGCACCCAGCTCCATTATAGAACACTTAGGAAAAAAATACAGAAAGCAAAAATAAAAAATGTGAAGAAGGACCTATCACCACTGTTCACTTTGTGTTGATGTCCTTCTAGCCTCTTTCCGTGGTGCTCACACACAGCATTTAGTAGATGTACATTATATATTTTTTATAAAAGCTTCTACTGTCTAATCATCTGCTTTTACACTCACCAGTATGTGATAACATCATCCAAGGTGGCATGACTCAGAGCAGGCTTCTGCGGCTGTCAGGAATGAGAGAGGGGAGTGGTGTTGGGGAATGTCCTGGACAGGCAGGGTTTGTGGTTTGACTGAGTTTGGAGGGCAGAGAGGAGGTTGGGAAGATGCTGTGGGCTTCACACACATCTCATATTCTCAGTCCTTCCCCCTGATCCCCCCTGGTGAGGAGATATAGGAGGTATAATCTCCCCACTTTCTGGGGTGAGAACACTGAGGCCAAGACACTGTGATCCTTCTGCTGAATCCGGTGGGAAAAAAGTCTATACCCAATTCAGGCAATTCACACAGGCATTTTGTCCCTTCCCTAACTCCCAGGGTGACTGCCTGGGGAGGCACATGGCCTTGCCTTTGCTATCCAGATAAGCCTCTGACCTTGGCCCTGGCCGGGAGGCTGGTCCCTGGCCCCTCCCAGCTGGTGCTCAGTGCGCGCTCTCTCTGGCAGGCTGCACCTACACAGGCAGAATCTTCTATAACAACGAGACCTTCCCATCTGTGCTGGACCCATGTCTGAGCTGCATCTGCCTGGTATGGACCGCCACATCTGACCCCCGCCTCTGGAAACTCCCCAGCAACTGACATCGGCTCCTGAATCCTAGAGGCAAAATCCAGAGACCTCCAAGAGAAGGGTTGCTTCTGGTTCATGGTGGAAGTCAGCTCCCTCCAGCCCTGCCCAGGGTGACCCTTTAGACAGGGCCAGAGAAATTTTTTGCTGTGTTTTGAGATGGTTGCTCTGTCACCCAGGCTCCCAGGTTGGAGTGCAGTGGTGCAACCTCGGCTCACTGCAACCTCTGCCTCCCAGGTTCAAGCGATTCTCCTGTGTCAGCCTCCCGAGAAGCTGGGACTACAGGCATGCACCACCATGCCTGGCTAATTTTTATAGTTTTGGTAGACACGTGGTTTCGCCATGTTGGCCAGGCTGGTCTGGAGCTCCTGACCTCAGTTGATCCACCCAACTCAGCCTCTCAAAGTACTGAGATTACAGGCTTGAGCCACCATGCCCAGCCCAGAGAAACATTTTAATCCTGGCTGGCAAAATTCCTCTGCTTCCAGGTTACTGGCTAGAGAGTCTCAGGGATTTGTGATGAGGGTGGAGGTGAAGCACATAAACCCAGGACCCAGTACTGGAACCTTTTCAATAGACCTGCGTGGTCAAGCTCTTGCTGTATGCCAGGCTCTTGATAGGCATGCTGTCAGCTAATCCATTTCAAGAATTTATCATCTTACTCTTCTAGATGAGAAAACCAAGGCACAGAGAGACAGTCTGCACAAGATTCTGTAACTAATCACAGTATTGAGAATGAAATCTTCGTTTTGTGATTCCAAGATGCACATTTATTCTCCTGGGTCGTACTGCCTCTCAGTCTGAAAAAGTATATCCCATAGTATCATTTAGTTTCTGGAAAATGAAAACAAAAGTTTTTTTCGAGACAGGATTGCTCTGTCACCAGGTTGAAGTGCAGTGGCGTGATCATGGCTCACTGCAACCTTGACCTCCTGGGCTCAATCGATCCTCCTGTGTCAGCCTCCCAAGTAGGTGGGATCACACCTGGCTAATTAAAATTTTTTTTCATAGAGATGGGGTCGTGTTGTATGGCTCAGGCTAGCCTGGACCTCCTGGGCTCAAGCAGTCCTCCCACATCAGCCTCCCAGTGTGTTGGAATTATAGGCATGAGCCACTGCACCCAGCCAAAAAGTGTTTTTCTTTTTAAAAAATATATTAAAAATTTTTTACATTAAAAAATATTTAGACAGGATCTTGGGCTGTTGCCTAGGCTGGTCTTGAATTCCTGGCCTCAAGTGATCCTCCTGCTTCAGCTTCCCAAAGTGCTGGATTACAGGTGTGGGCCACTATGCCCAGCTGAAAAAAAAGTTTATTTTATTTTTGAGACAGAGTCTCGCTCTGTCGCCCAGGCTGGAGTGCAGTGGCACAGTCTGGGGTCACTGCAACCTCCCCCTCCCAGGTTCCAGTGTTTCTCTTGCCTCAGCCTCCCGAGTAGCTAGGACTACAGGTGCACGCCACTATGCCTGGCTAATTTTTGTACTTTTAGTAGAGTCAGAGTTTTGCCATGTTGGCCAGGTTGGTTTCAAATTCCTGACCTCAGGTGATCCACCTGCCTCGACCTCCCAAAATGCTGGAATTACAGGTTTAAGCCACCGCTCCCGGCAAAGACATACTTAGTGCTTATCCTGCTGACGTTCCGAATGTGGGACAGCGCTGCTTTGCTGCTGTGGGTGCAGATGCGACATTCCTTTGGTGATCAGTGAGCCTCAGCAGAGTACATACGTGACAAGGGACATGGTCTGCAGAGAGATTGAGAAACTCAGGGTAAACAGCCCTGTGCATGTCAACAACAGCCCTGTGCTACTGACCCTGAGCGACCCACTGCACGTAGGCCCTGGTTCTCAGCCTGGGCTTTGGGGAACTTTGGCCTCTGGATCTCTCTCGTCTTTCCCAGGCAGTCCATGCAACAGGCATCATTAACAGTTGCCCTCCATGGACAAGGCCATGGTCTTACCTTTGCGGGGCTGGAATTCTAGTGGGAAGATGGACCCCAAAAGAGAAAATACCCCCCACCCTGCCCCACTACCCCATCATGGACTCCTCCCACAATGTAGGTCATTCTGATGGGCATTCAGTGGCTATAGGAGCAGTGCCTTCCTGAGTGTCTCATCCGCTGCCCTGAACCAAGGGCCTTGTGTGTTTTCTATGTCCTGCAGCTGGGCTCAGTGGCCTGTTCCCCCGTGGACTGCCCCATCACCTGTACCTACCCTTTCCACCCTGATGGGGAGTGCTGTCCTGTGTGCCAAGGTGAGTGGGACCTGCTGCCCCATGTGTGAGGCTCCTGGCCAGGCCTCGGCTCTCATGAGGCCCTGTCTCCTCTGCCTCCACAGACTGCAACTATGAGGGGAGGAAGGTGGCGAATGGCCAGGTGTTCACCTTGGATGATGAGCCTTGTACCCGGTGCATGTGCCAGGTGAGCTGGGCCTGGGAACCCCGGAGCAGACTGGCCAGAGGGCAGCCTGCCTTTCATCCCTTTGCAGAACATGGAGCCCCCTTGCCAGCGTAAGTCCATTCTTCTTCCCCTCTTCACCTTTAATTAGCTGCCAGAATACCTTTGGTTTTGACCATCTCTTCTCTCTGTGGAAGTCCAGAGGGAGAAGCGGTTTTCCTAAGGGGATCCGGCCACGGTTGGCTTTAGCTGTTCTACAGGCGAGGGCTCAGGCACCGCAGCTTCTGTTCTGGGATCTTTCTGTGGGTCCTGCTGCTGGTGCCAGAGGCCCTTGAGGGCACTGCCCAGGGCAGGCAAGATGCTCTGGGCTTCCTCATGCGGGTCCTTCTGCTTCCCCAGCTGGGAGAGGTGAGCTGCGAGAAGATTCCCTGCCAGCGGGCCTGTGCTGACCCTGCTCTGCTCCTTGGGGAATGCTGTTCTTCCTGCCCAGGTAAGTGGACCTCTGGGTCCTGGAGTTTCCCGCCATCTTCCATTTGCTCTTCTTCCCAGATACACGGAACTTGTAAAGGGCGGGATATGAGGAAGCCAGGCTCCAAGAGGGAACGTGGCTCGCTCAAGGTTGCATGGCCTGCTGACCCTCGTCCCGTGCTCACGATGCCACACATCATGATGTCTCTTTCTTTGCACTACCTTTTTCGTCTTTATCTCCTTTCTTTTTTTTTTTTTTTTTTTTTAGACGGAGTCTCACTCTGTCCCCCAGGCTGGAGTGCAGTGGCGTGAGCTCAGCTCACTGCAACCTCTGCCTCCCTGGTTCAAGCAATTCTCCTGCCTCAGCCTCCTGAGTAGCTGGGACTACAGGCGCGCGCCACCATGCCCAGCTGAGTTTTGTATTTTTAGTAGAGAGGGGTTTTTACTACGTTGGCCAGGCTGGCCTCGAACTCCTGACCTCATGATCTGCCCGCCTCAGCCTCCCAAAGTGCTGGGGTTTCAGGCAAGAGCCACCGCGCTCCGCTTTTATCTTTATCTCCTTTCTTAATCTCTTCCTCTGCTTTCTTCTTTATTTTGAATTACAACATGGGAACTATGTCCATTTTGCAGAAGAGTAAATTGCTAATATGCACTGAGCACCCACTGTGTGTCGGGACACCTCATGTGTCTACATCCCAGCAGTATCCTGTCATCCCCCTGTGCCAGGTGAGGAAACTGAGGCACAGGGAGGTGAAGTGATGTGCTCGAGATCACATAGCTGATTGGTGGTGGAGCCAGGACTTCAGCCTAGCGTCAATGCTTTTAGATAAGACACTGGATTGATTCCCAAGAATTGGCGACATTGCACTCCAGCCTGGGCCACAGAGAGACACTGTCTCTAAAACAAAACAAAATACAGCACAACACATATTCCTCCTGTCTAACTGAGATTTCATACCCTCTGACAGTCACCTCTCCATTCCCCTCGCCCCTGCCAGCCTCCGTAGCCATGATGCTACTCTCTGCTTCTTTGGGTTCAGCCTTTTTAGATTCCACATCAAACTGAGATTATGTAGTTGCCTTTGTGTGTCTGGCTTATTTCGCTTAGCATAATGTCCTCCAATTTCATCCAATGACAGAATTTCCTTTTTTTTTTTTTGAGGAGTCTCACTCTCTCACTCTGGGTTCAAGTGATTCTCGTGCCTCAGCTTCCCAAGTAGCTGGGACTGCAGGTACACACCACCACATCCAGCCAATTTTTTTTGGTATTTTTAGTAGAGACAGGATTTTATCATGTTGACCAGGCTGGTCTTGAACTCCTGACCTTAGATGATCTGCCCACCTCGGCCTCTCAAAGTGCTGGGATTACAGGCGTGAGCCACTGTGCCCGGCCTAAAATGGGTTTTTGATTAACAAGTTTATTGGGACATGACCCCATCGTAAGTCGAGGGGCATCTGTGTTTGCTTTCCCCTTATTACTGAGTCTTTATGACTAGTGCCAAGCCCTAGCCTGAGAATTTTTAAAAAAGTTCTTCAAAGAAACTATTTTTTAGAACAGTTTGAGGCTCTTGGCAAAATTGAGTGGAAAGTACAGAGAGTTCCCATATACTTCGGACTCCACACATCACAGTGTCACCCACCGTTAGCACCCCACACCAGCATGACATGTTTGTTATAATTGGTGATCCTACACTGATATTGACATGTCATTGACATCCAAAGTCTATAGTTCACATTGAGGTTTAGTCTGAGACTCTCCGTGGACCCTTTCATTCACAGTCCTGACTGCTGTGCCCATTTTACAGATGAGGAAACAGAGGCCCAGGGGAGTTGCATGTCTTAGGTGAGGTCACACAGCTAACTGCCTCCCTCCGTTCATTGCTCCTTCCGTCTTCTCTTCCTAGAGGCAGGAGCTGGCCGGTCCTCACCAGGTGTGCTGGGGCCCCTCTGAGGACAGAGCTTGGATGTCCCCAGAATACCTTGTCCCAGAGCGCCTCAGCCGCTGGAGAGAACTGCCATGCATCTTGTTTCACTCTCCTCTCTCTAGATTCCCTGCCTCCTATGGAAGAAAAGCAGGGGCTCTCCCCTCACAGAAAGGTGGCATTTGGCAAAGCTGTTCGGAGTGTGCCTGGAGACGCTAAGGCCCCTGCCAGCTGTGGCTCCTGCCCGGGGCCCCCGACAGCATCTCCCTCGAGGCCGGTGCTCCATTTCCTCCGGCTCCTTTTAAGAACCAACTTGTCAAAAACACAGACTTTACCTAGAAGCCCGGCAGGAGCTTATGCTCCACACTCGCCCTCATTGGGGCCGTCAGGCATGTTCCCAGGGGACCCTGGGGCCTCCCCTCGATTCTCACTAGGGCCTTTGACCCCTCCAGGAGCCCCTACTCTACTTCTGGCCTCCCCAGGGGCTCCTCAGCTACGTGCAGTGACTCCAGAGCGCTCCTTTTCAGCCTCTGGGGCCCGGACAGCCTCTGGGCGGCCTCCTCTGCCTGCCACCCTCCTAACGGAAGCTTCAGCACTTTCCATGATGGACCCTCGCCCCTCGAAGACCCACATTACCCTCCTCAGGTCTCGTACACTTTCTCCCACCACCTCTAGACTCTCTGCAGCCCTTGCAGCCACCACCCGCCCCGGCCCCCAGCACCCCCTGGTGGGGGCCTCTCAGAGGGAAGAGTCCACCGTGTAGGCAGGTCACTGTGTTTGGGAGACTCTGGAGAGCGGACACTGCCCATGGCCTAGGGAGGGTGCAGGGCACCTCCAAGGGTGAACCAGGTGGGGATGCCTGGGCTCCCTCCTGCAGGGGCCCTGGTGAGGATGGAAGACCCCCAAGGCTGGATGTGACCTTGTTCCCAAGGAGTGTTTGGAATGTACTGTAAGAATGGAGGAAGTGTCAGCATCCTCCCTGGACCACGTGGCTGGCTCATCTTTTGAGAAGGGTCGGCGCTGCCAAGTTCTCCTGGAGGAGGAGTTGCGTCCGGATGGGAGTCCACTCACTGGGACTGTGCCGCCAGGTGTTTGTCTACCTGAGGTTTCCTGATTAAAGGTTGTCTCTGTTCCCCAGGCTGCGCTGCCCATTCGCCGCTTACCTGTGGGAAGGTGGGAAATGGGACCCAAGCCCACAGGCGCCTTTACCTCGCTGCTGGGGAGAAAAGCTGGCACCAAACTGGGACTGGGTTGGGGAAGGGTCTCCCATAAGCACTTGCTTGCCTTTTACATTGGGAGACTTCTTTTTGTTTTTTTCTCCAAGATCATGATTTTACTTTATTTTTTTTACTTTTAAGGTCGGGGGTACAGGTGCAGGTTTGTTATGTAGTTAAACTCATGTCACGGGGGTTTGTTGTACAGATTATTTCATCACCCGGGGATGAAGCTTAGTACCCATTAGTTATTTTTCCTGAGTCTCTCCCTCTACGCTTCCTCCACCCTTCCATATACCTCAGTGTGTGCTGTTCACCTGTGTGCCCATGTGTTCTCATCATTTAGCTCCCACTTATAAATGCGGTACTTGGTTTTCTCTTCCTGAGTTACTTTGCCAAGGATAATGGCCTCCAGCTCTATTCATGTCCCTGCAAAGGACACGGTCTCATTCTTTTTAATGGCTGTGTAGTATGTACATCATGGAGTACCATGCAGACACTGGGGGCTTCTACAGCGAAAAGGGAAAAGATGATGGAGAGGGCTTGCTCCTGGAAAGGAATCTTGAGATGAAATGGCAGGCCAGCTGTTTCTTTTTTGAGATGAAGTTTAGCTCTTGTTGCCCAGGCTGGAGTGCAATGACAAGGTCTCGGCTTACTGCAACCTCCGCCTCCCGGGTTCAAATAGTTCTCCTGCCTCAGCTTCCCGAGTAGCTGCGATTACAGGTGCCCACCACCATGCCAGGCTAATTTTTTGTATTTTTAGTAGAGACGGGGGTTCACCATGTTGGCCAGGCTGGTCTCAAACTCGTGATCTCAGGTGATCCACCCACCTTGGCCTCCCAATGTCCTGGAAGCACCGCACCCCGCCTCTGCTTCCTTATTTGAAAAATGGGGATAATAACAGGCCTACCTTTTGGAGTTGTGACAATGACGTGTGATAATGCCTCTGTAAGTCTCAGTGGTTTGCGCTTGTGGCTCTGTGGCCCCTAAGCTTGCTACAGTCCACCCAGCTTCGTGATGCCACAAGGGATCTGATTTCAGGATGAAAGTGTAGAGCGCTCACTGCCCCCCACACTGCAACTTTTCAAACAAGTCCATGTCAAAATGGTAGTGGCTAGAAATCAGTACCAATTTCCTCATTGCTGCTATTCCTTTACTCAATAAGTTAGCATGCACTTTAAGTTTAATTCCCCCACCTGTGTCTGCAAATAGGACTCAGGTCAATGAAGTTCATTTTGAATGTTAAACAAAGGAGGCCGGGTGCGGTGGTTCATGCCTGTAATCCCAGCACATTGGGAGGCCGAGGCAGGAGGATCATGAGGTCAGTTCAAGACCAGCCTGACCAATATGGCGAAACCCCGTCTCTACTAAAAATACAAAAATTAGCTGGGCATGGTGGCACGTGCCTATAGTCGCAGCTACTCGGGAGGCTGAGGCAGGAGAATTGCTTGAACACAGAAGGTGGAGGTTGCAGTAAGCTGGGATCATGCCCTGCACTCCAGCCTGGCTGATAAGAGTGAAACTGTCTCAAAAAAAAAAAAAAAAGCTAGGCACAGTGGCTCACCCCTGTAATCACAGCGCTTTGGAAAGCTGAGGCAGGTGGATCGCTTTGAGCTCAGCAGTTTGAGACCAGCCTAGGCAACATGGCGAAAGCCCATCCCTACAAAAATTAGCCAGGCATGGTGGCGCATGCCTACCGTCCAAGCTGCTAGGGAGGCTGAGGCTGGAGAATGGCTTGAGCCCAGGAAGCAGAGGTTGCAGTGAGCTGAGATCGCACCACTGCGCTACAGCCTGGGCTGGCAAACAAGACCCTGTCTCAAAAAAAAAAAAAGAAAAAGAAAAGACAAGACAAAAGCTGGGAGGGGCAGGGGGACAGTTGTAAACAT